GAACTCCACAGGCATGAAGCTTGAGTTTAAAGTTGCAGGTGTGGTTTGATCTAATAGTGCTGAGTAATTAGACCACACCTTTCTATTCAAAGTGCTTCCATCACAAGTCAGGACTTAAACTATTATCTTTGATTGTTACACTTGCTTGTCAGGAGTGGGATTTGAACCCACGCCTCCAGAGGAGACTGCGACCTGAACGTAGCGCCTTAGACCACTCAGCCATCCTGACACTTAAGAGTTATTCTCGTTCAACCCGCAGATTTTATTGCCTGTGCAAATTTTTATACTGTCATAAAATGCTTTACATAGAGAGTCAGTATTTTTTAATTAATTCAATGAAATTCATCCATCCATTCGCTACCGCTTATCCTTTTTAGGGTCGCGGGGGGTGCTGGAGCCAATCCCAGCTGTCATAGGGCGAGAGGCGGGGTACACCATGGACAGGTCGCCAGTCTGTCGCAGGGCTAACACACAAGGACAGACAACCATTCATACTCACATTCACACCTAGTGGCAATTTGGATTATCCAATTAACCTATCCCCACAAACTGCATGTCTTTGGACATGCAGCACGGTGGCACGGTGGTTAGCACTGTTGCCGCACAGCAAGAAGGTCCTGAGTTCAATTCCACCATCAGGCCGGGGTCTTTCTGTGTGGAGTTTGCATGTTCTCCCCGTGTCTGCGTGGGTTCCCTCCGGGTACTCCGGCTTCCTCCCACCGTCAATGAAATTCAATTCACTTTTATTTATACACCAAATCATAACAACAATCGCCTCGAGGCACTTTGTATTGTAAAGTAAAGAGCCTAAAATAATACAGAGAAAACCACAACAATCAAAGGATCCTCTTTAAGTAAGCACTTGGTGACAGTGGGAAAGAAAAATTCCCTTTTATAGCAGGAAGAACGGGAACGGGCAGCTATCTGCCACGACCGGTTGGGAGGTGGTGGGAGGAAGACGGGATAAAAGACACATTGTGGAAGAGAGCCAGAGATTAATAATAAGTTAATGTGGCAAGGAAATATAACATTTTTCGTATGCTGTAACTTTGATATCTCACTCTGTCAGGTTTCTGCTGGGGCAGCTGAAGACCTTCTGCGGAGAGTTCCTGATGAGGAAGTTGAGCATGTCCAACTGCGTAGCCGTGCACAGCCTTGCACACATGTACACGCTGAACCAGCTCGCTCAGAGAGCCGCCGAGACGATCAGGAGAAACTTTCACAAAGTCATTCACAACGAGGAATTCTTCACACTGCCCTTTCACTTGGTGCGAGACTGGCTGTGTGATGCAGAAATCACCGTGGAGTCTGAGCAGGAGTTGTTTGAGGCAATCGTGAAATGGGTCCACCACAACCCAGAGGAGCGAGAGAAGCATTTTGAGGACCTGTTCAAACTTTTAAGGCTGCCACAGATCGCTCCTACTTACCTGACGCGTGTCGTGAGGAAGGAGCCCTTAGTGGCAAACAGCGCGGCTTGTCTGGAGCTGGTGTCCAGTGCGCTCGAGGTCCACGCTGTTCGTTATGAGAGCCCCAAGAAGGCTGATTCAGATCTCGGCGACTCCTACGAGGCGACGATCCAGCCTCGATATGGTCAGAACATGGATGTGATCATGGTAGTGGGTGGTGTTTCGGAAGGAGGAGATTATTTGAGCGAATGTGTGGGCTACTTTGTTGCTGAGGATCGCTGGGTCAGTTTGCCACACATCCACAACCACCTCGATGGACATGCTATTGCTGTCACCGAGAATCACCTTTATGTGGCGGGCTCAATGGAGCCCAGCTTCGCCAAGATGGTGGAGCGCTACAATCCTAACCTTAACTGCTGGGAGTCGGTCAGCAGCCTGACCACACGCAAGCATTCGTTTGGCCTCACGTGCATCAAAGACACACTCTACATCATCGGCGGCCATGGCAACTTCAGTCCAGGTTTCAAGGATGTCTCCATTTATGAACCTGAGCAGGACATGTGGCTCAATCTGGAGCCAGCGCCAAAGATCCTGCGAGATGTAAAAACAGTGAGCGTGGAGGATCGCTATGTGTACGTAATGGCCAGGACCCCCGTAGATATAGACAGCGATGATGGGCTGAGCACGGTGACCACCTGCTACGATACAGAAAGCCGCAAGTGGCAGGAAGTGGACTCGTTACCGCTTATTGATACCTATTGTAGTTTTCAAATGGCTGTTGCATCCAGCAACTTCTATCACACAGCTTCCTGTTGCCCCAAGAACTACACGGTAACACATGAGGCCGCCCAGCAGAAAATAAGCAGAAACATCTCAGAGGACATCCTCGACAGCCTCCCGTCAGAGGTCCTCAGCCTGGAGGGCGCAGCCATTTGCTACCTGGGTGAAGACATCTTCATCATTGGCGGGTGGAGGAACAGCAACCACGTAGAAAAGCAGTACCGCAAGGAGGCCTACCGCTACTGCGCCAAGAGGAAGCGCTGGATGCTGCTGCCGCCCTTGCCCCAGCCACGCTGCCGTGCGGCGGCCTGCCACGTTCGCATCCCGTACCAGTACCTCTATGGCTCCCAGCGTTACCCCGTCCCCCACAACCTGGCTCGCCAGCGAGACCGCATGCAACAGATGCAGCAGCTCCATCGGCGCACCCTCAGCCTGCGGAGGCAAATGCAGTCTCAGATTGAATGTTAAGAATCAGATATTCTGCTTTAAGTCATTAGCACTTCATCTGCTGATAAATGCCTTGCTGTCATCTCAAGACTTTGTTTCAGTTATTTTATTTTATTTTACCTTAATTGAGGTGAAATGTTTGCGCCATTTTTTCTTGAAGCGGGTTTGCAGTGAAGGAAGCAATGAGTCTAATCATTTTTGGCCTCATGCCTTACTTTCTATCGTGCCAGCAAATAAGACTGCTGTTGGTTTTGTTTGCGAAACAAATCACAGCTCAGCTTTTTAAACCGCGGCCTTTGTTAGCATCTTAGATAAAGGATGTCAATGTTTCCTGTGTGTGCAAAACAAAAACAACAAAACTGTCATGAGAAAACTTTGTGTCAGGAAGCATACTTGGCAAAGTAAACGATGTCTATTTATTGTGATGTATGTTAGAAGGAAATCATGAATTACAAAAACTAATTCAATAGCTAACTTAGAAAAGAAGTATCAGCTGCTTTAACTGTTTGCTTTCCTTTCCGTTGTTGTCATTGAGGGGTTTTTTTGCACAGTATGCATTGGAATAGTGATGATCGTATACTCTGTGCCTAAACAGACAATCACAATTTCGTAGCAAGGACTGAATGTTGACAAAAAGCACACGCTGTGCGACAGCTTGACTTTGGATGTGTGTGTGTGATTTATTTTAAGCTGGTCAAAAAAACAAAACTCTATTTCATATATACGATTTCTGGAAAGATGGACTAAATACCACAATGATAATCCAAGTATCGGATTTTGTGTTTAAATACGACGCTTTCCCATTTCACATCGCAAGGACAACCGCTAACAGATCCAGCCACTGACAGCAGTAACTTTGTGAAAATGTTTGGTTTGTGGGTTTTAATGGATTTGTTTGGTGTTTGCTCTGCATTTACGCTTCTGGCAGAATCTGTTTAGTGTTTTTGTCTCGGTGAATGAAAGCACATATGAACATTGCACTGTGGAAAGATTTTTAAATGTGCTTAATACACTAAACCAGCAAGACGATGTGTTATTTTTGTGAATGGTTATCATTTCCCCACTGTGCCAATAAAAATAAGACCTGTTCCTTAGTGACACCATTGATTTATTGTTCTTACTGCATTAAAGGACCTTGAATGTTAGCTTTACTTCTGAAGAGCGTTCCTTTGAGTTTAGTGACCCCCTCAAACATACCATGCTGGGTGTAGTGAATAAAGAGAAACTCATTCAGTATTTTTGAAGCTGTGTTTAGATTTTTGTACCAGTTTGGTCAATTTTAGATCAAATGTAATAATAATGGATTGCATTTATATAGCGCTTTTCGAGAACCTCAAAGTGCTGCACAATTCCATTATTCATTCACTCTCACAGTCACACACTGGTGGAGGCAAGCTACAGTTGTAGCCACAGCTGCCCTGGGGCAGACTGACAGAAGCGAGGCTGCTATATCGCACCACCGGCCCCTCTGGCCATCATCAGTAGGCGGTGGGTGGAGTGTCTTGCCCAAGGACACAACGACCGAGACTGTCCAAGCTGGGGCTCAAACCGGCAACCTTCCGATTGCAAGACAAACTGCCAACTCTTGAGCCACGATCGCCCTGTGTGACATGTGACACATTTAGCTGTCGTGTACTCTTGTGTAAAATGTCTAAAAACAGCACACTTTTATTCTGAAGATCTCCAAATGTTCTAAATATGGAAGAGTGCTCAAATACTTGTCATGTACTTTCAAGTCTTTTTTTCTTATAAGTGAACTATATTTACACTTCAGGAACTCTTAATATCCAGTCCCTGCGATCAAAGTACTTTGATTGTAGAATTTTGCACCTTTTTAAAATGTAAAGCAAAAGTCTTGAGGCACCCCTCATTTCTTTATATTTTGCTTCTCAGGTCCTTCAGAAGAAATTTTCTCTGGCCGCTGGCTGATTTTTTTAATTTATATTTATTTTTTTACTCTTCTTCCGTCCAGCTCTCGAACCTGACCATTTCCAGAGGAATGGTATTTATGATCTATGAATCTGTGATCTATGAAAAACGTTCCTAAGTCAGTGGATGAAAAATTATGTGTCTGCACATAGCAGATAACTTGGCAAACAACAGATGTCTGCTTAAAGAAATTACAGAAAAGCTTGACTAAGACAGCAGATGGTTCAATAAATAAATCGCTAATATGTTTCCCATTTTCCTAGCAAAATATAAAGATTTTTTCTTCTATCGTCACAGTATCTCTACCATTAATAACTTGGCCTCGATATTCGTCTAGTGAAATTCTAGTACTGTGACAGCTCCCTCAGTATATCCTCACCATCAAGTAGGAACAAATGCATGTCGGAACCATGGTTAGTGTGGCGTAGACGCGGGGGAGCTCTATGTCTGTGACAAGCAGAAATGTAAACAATTGAAAGCAGCAGCGGAGTGTAAACTGCATATAATTTGATTTTGAAATATTTTCACATAGATATTCAGACGTTTTTAACACAATGTGCTCTTAACGGTCCCTCTGAATAGTCGATAAAACGTCGCTGACGCCTGAGCTCTCCGTGAGAAGATGGTAAGTTGTAACTGTCAGCGGTTACGTAATCGCGTCGGTAGTCGCTGAATCGGCTGTTAAAGTTTAACCGGTTGTGTTATGATAACCTGTTTTTGCTGGCAGCATAAAAGAAGTCTATTCATTCAGATGCAGCTCATATTTGTACGGCATTGTCAGCAGGCTGGTTATGAGCTGTAACCACAGTCTGAAGTGCAGTTTGGAAACCAATATTTAGACCCAATTTATGCTTTTATTTTGAAAGAAAATAGGTACATAAGGTGTATGAGCTGCTTGAAAGGAAAACAGGAGTTTTATCGACTACTAAAACTGAGGGCTGCTCGGTTAAATCAGCTTGCAGCCACTGTTCGCTTGTTATGAATAAGCCCGAATGACAACTTTCCAATACAATGTTTAGTAAATAGCGCTATGATGGTGAGAAGCATGACTAAGAACAAAGGGGTGTTTCCACCTCACATTTCCTCCTCCATCATCTCGGTTTTGTCTAAAGGTAGTATGGTCCAAAGTTTAAACTGCTGTGAAATTTTCGCTTCACATATCAAACACTTTGCCTTGGACTGACTTTCAGCATATTTGTTTGTTTGTTTGTTTAAATCTGAGGGCATGCTTAATTCACATCAAGTATAAAATATCGAAAGGGGTACCATGTGGTCAAAACAACTTAACCTTGCAAGGCTACTCCCATGGAACAAATGACCTGTTTCATTACTCTTAATTGTCTGAGATATATACACCGTCCACTGTGCTCAACTTGGGGTGATACCATGCATGGATGGTCAGGACCTTCTGGGTCATGATTTCACTGGCTTCTACTCTCCTCCTTTGGCCAGCTTATTATCCTAGCAGCATACCTGATGACCCTCTGCAGGTACTTAGTGGTTGCAGCTTTTGTCTGTGGGATCCCCAGATACTTGTAACTCTTCGTTATCATACTACTACACCTCTCCGAACAACACTTTGTATATCCTGGTGGAGTGAAGCGATCCTATTGGCTTGAAGTTGTTGTATCTTATATACTATCTATGAAGTTGGGCCTAAAAAAAAACTTTTGAAAATTGTAGAGTTTTCTCTCATCAGTGGGTGATGATATCTGTCATCCTGGCTCCCCCTTGCCATAGCATGTGTGTTTTACCTCTTCAATATCTTTCATATTTATCTCTCTCACTCATGTCTGTGGTGTCTTACTGGATGCAGACATCCCCAGGCAGGAATCAAACTTGCAACTCCCACTCCAAAGACGTATAGTCTTACCACTACGCTGGGTACACTATAAACTGATTGACTTCTCCAGAAATTAAACACTTTATCTTATCCAAAACCATAAACAAAGTAACTCACTAGGTGTTTTAGGTAAAAGTAACCTCTTATGGCTCTGCTTGCAGATATATCACGTTCCCTGGATCTATACGCCAGTGCGGACCGTTCTGGCAATTTGGCACCAGCTGACGAAAACTGAGGTGAGGAAGCTCCTCTGAAAATTACCATGTGATGGCTGAAATTATACGGAGCAAAATAAATAGTTTTCTTTCTTTTGTTTGTTTTTTATCATAAATAACCTCCTGTGTGTGGGTGTTGGCTTTTCACTGAACTAAAGAGTAATGCCTCAGTGTAGAAATGGGTCCGCATTGCAAAATAAAAGAAGCTTAATTTATAGTGAGTGTAAATTGTAAGTCCAGAATCTTTTCTGTTCAGATCCCGGAGCTGGCCAAGTGCTCGGTGCTGATGAGGGAACGCAGCAGAGTGGAGGAAACGATCCACTGCATGCAGCGAGCAGGTGCAGGAAACCTGCAGGTAAGTGCGCTGAGTGCAGGTTATACACACAAACACTCGTTTGTAAATGCTCATTTGAAGAGTTTTGATTTCTTATGTGAAGATTGCAAACTCACTACAAGAGTCTTACAGGATCGAAAAGCCTTCACTGCTAAAATCATAGACTTTTGCACTATGCTGTAGGTGTTCTTGACTTAGTGAGATGTTATGAAGTTTTTCTTAAAAAGTGAACGTACCAGATTGTAGACCTCTAAAGTTTTTGCGATTCCACTCATAGGTTTATTTTGGTTCAACACTTGGAATCAACTCGAGATCCTTTAATAATAAGGGAACAGGTCTCACCTGACCATGAAGCTGCTTACCTGCCAATTGTCCAATTACTGAAAATGGGGAATTATGTCTAAGAATGGCTGTAAATCCTAAACACTTAATGTAATACCTAAAAGCTGAAGGTCTGCACTTCAATCACATCTTAATTGTTTGATTTTAAAATCCTGTATGATAGTGTACAGAGGTAGAATTACAGTGATTCCCTAAAAGCACATGGAGCTACTGTAACTGTGCATTTATGTGTCTGCTGTTTTCACAGGTAATCTCAGACTTTGACATGACACTGACCAGATTCGCTCACAACAGCAAGAGAGTTCCCACCACTCACAGTGAGCACAAAGACACTGAAAGTGTTCCCATGATGTATTCCAGTATGTATATACAAATTACTGGATGGATAATGCAAGTTTTACCTGTGTGGTTTTTGTTTGTGTCTTCTTTTTAGACATCTTGGATAACAGGCTGCTGATTAATGAAGACTGCACTAAAAAGGTAAGAGCTTTACAAACACATGGGTTAATGTGTTAACTTTAACTATGTTTGTTGCCATGTGGATTGGATATAATATTAATGAGTGTTCTGTTGTTGTTCTGTGTAGATGAGGGAGCTGTTAAACACTTATTATCCCATAGAGATCGATGCTAGCCGGAGTGCTGAGGAGAAACTTCCTCTCATGGTTGAGTGGTAAGAAATAAATGTGTCAGATATTAACTCATTTGATTCCAGTGCCTCCTCAGAGCATACTGAATAATATACAGTGAATTGTAATTTATATACACACTGATGTATGTTGTTAAATGGTTGATATCTTGTATTTATTCTGCTCTCTAAAGGTGGACAAAAGTCCACGAGCTGCTGATTCAGCAGAAGATCAGAAAAGACATGCTGGCCCGGGCTGTGAAGGAATCCAGTGCCATGCTCAGGTACGCACAGCTCAAATTACACAGAACTGATTTATACAGAGAAGAATGTGTTTACAGTTACAGCTCTGTTTACAGTTATGAAGCTTTTTGTCATTTAAAATATTCTTCGAGGCAGGTGATGTCTATACAAATCAATTTATTACACTGTCACAACAAAGCTAATACATTACAGCTGCTCTGCAATGAAAACATTCATTTAGAGGTGAAAATACTTATTAAAAATGAGGTGGGAACCAGTAACATCAGCTGTGTTTGGGTTTCAGATACTTTCAAAAGCAATGTTTAACACTGTAAAGATTATATGAAACATTTCTATTTAACCTCTGTGGTGTTTCTTCATGTTTCATGGTCTAATTTAGTCATGTTTGGTGTGTTTCTGTCTTAAGGGAAGGGTACAAAGTATTTTTTGACCATCTGGCTGAGCACCAGGTCCCTCTGCTGATCCTCTCCGCCGGGGTCGGTGATGTCTTGGAGGAGGTGATTCGACAGAACCACGTCTTCCATCCAAATGTCCACATCATCTCCAACTACATGGACTTTGACCACACTGTGAGTTTAACCACACTCAGCCTCACACACGTGTCATGTGATGGACATGACTGTATACATTTGTAATTTTACGTCATATAATTACTAATATATTACATACATATTAGTGCACAAGTCCATGTTTTTTTGTTTTGTTTTTAAACACAAAACATGATTCGCGGCTAACTGAGAAGAACAAACTTGTCTTTATATTTAACAAAAGCTTTTCACGCACATTGTTTTCCTTTTAACTTCTCTAATAAACATTAATCATCATGCATTAATAGGCATGCAGGAAATATAAGATTTATTATTAATATTTTCTTAAATCTATGCTCTTATAATTGCTTATTTTTGCACGTTAGCTGACTTCTGTCACATCTTGTAAAGTCTCATCATCAGTTTGTCAGTCGTCTGTGAAACACCTTGAACTGCATGTAGTTTGATTGACTGGTTCAGTACAATGGATGTAAAAGCTTGGATCACAAGCTTAAAAAAAAGAATCATTTTGCCAGGTTTAAAAGCTTTAAGCTTCTAGCCAAACTAGTCAGTTTAGACGAACCAGCATCGCACGAGGAATTACTGGCAAGTAAGTTTGCAGTTGGATACGTTTGAGAGGTGTGACAATACACACCTGGTTAGTTGAACCACCTGCCACGTAGTTTTTTGAAAGGAATTTTCAGTTTTTGTTTTGTTTTTTGTACAAATTTTCCTTACAAAGAAAGAAACTGTTACAGCTTTTTAGAAAGGATCCTTTCTGTGTTTCTTACTTTTTACTGAAAAACGTGTCATATTTCTCAACTGTTACGTGTAGTCAGTACATTCATGTTCAAGTTTCGCTCTGCTTTTTGCTAAATGCTTGCTGAAGTTGGATCCAGCCAGTGCTGTGCAATTAAGCAAACTACAGTTGTACAATAATTTACTATAATTCAAATTCAAATTCAAATTTTATTTGTCACACACACACAACCATACACAGTATGACATGGGGGTGAAATGCTTGTAGCTGTACAATGCCCGACCATTAAATGACAGAAGAAAAGTTTTACAATATTTACAATTTACTACAAAAATTTACAAATTAACTTAGGAATTTACAGTAAAGAATGTGCCAATAGCAGAAGAGATTATAAAGATAAGGATTATAAATTATAGGAATTATAGGATTATAGGAAATGTGTGGTGGTGCGTGTGGTGACGTGTGTGAGAGTCCAGTCTTATAGTGATGTGTTTGGGAGAGTCCAGTCCTACACCTGGTTCAGGGCCCGAATAGCCTGGGGGAAGAAGCTCCTCCTCATTCTCTCTGTTTTGGCCTTAAGGGAGCGGAAGCGCTTCCCAGACCTCAACAGTGAGAAGAGTCCATTGTTGGGATGGGAGAGGTCCATCATAATCTTCCTAGCTTTGGACTTGCACCGCTTGGTGTAGATGGACAGCAGGTCAGGGAGCTCTGATTGAATGATGCGTTCTGCCGAGCGCACCACCCTTTGCAGATCTCGTCTGTCCTGCTTGGTGCTGTTCCCAAACCAGGTGCAGATGTTTGCCGTCAGGACGCTCTCAATGGTGCAGGAGTAGAAGTTCTTGAGCACCTTCAGTGGCAGATGGAAGTCTCTAAGTCTTCTGAGGAAGAAGAGATGCTGACGGGCTTTCTTAACCAGGGTGTTGATGTGACAGGACCATGACAGGTCCTGAGCGATGTGGACACCCAGGTATCGGAAACGGTCCACTCTCTCCACTGGCGTGCCACTGATGATGAGGGGTTTGTAATTCCTCGCCTGCTTTGTAGTGAAGTCCACGATCAGCTCCTTAGTCTTGCTGATGTTTAGGAGGAGGTTATTCTCCTGGCACCAGGTCTCCAGGTTCCTAATCTCCTCCAGGTAGGCCGTCTCGATGTTGTCGGAGATCAGGCCCACAACAGCAGTGTCGTCAGCAAACTTGACAATGGAGGTGGTGTCGGATGTGGCTACACAGTCATAAGTGTACAGTGAGTACAGCAGGGGGCTTAAAACACAGCCCTGAGGCACTCCAGTGCTGAGTGAGATGGAGGGGTAGACTTGTTTTCCTACCCTCACTGATTGGGGTCTGTCTGTGAGGAAGTTGAGGAGCCACTGGCACAGTGATGAGCTCAGCCCTAGATCCTTCAACTTGGTAAAAAGCTTTGAGGGAATTGTTGTGTTGAATGCTGAACTGTAGTCCACGAACAGCATCCTAACATAATTCCCTCTGCCAGTGTCCAGGTGACTCAGGGGTGTGTGGAGCAGGTGAGATATGGCATCGTCTGTGGAACGATTAGTCCGGTAAGCAAACTGAAGTGAGTCGATGGTGGCAGGAAGTGAAGAAGAAGAAGTGTCTTAAATTCTCTTGTTTTGCATTTATAGCACATTTCATACCTTTATAAAAGTCCAAATTCACACTTGCAAGGTGGTCGTCTATCTTGCTGGTCAAGTTATTCATTTCCCAGCCTTCCTCTGTAACTGTTGTCATGAGCTGTCATGCATCTTTGTTGTATTGGTCTTTTGAATAGATGTGTGATAGCTTACTTACCTTATTGTAACGCAGCATTTCTTGCTATTAAGGGGGTGCTGCAAGCCTTTAAAGGTCAACTGATTCACACCTTTAACAAGCGAGAAGGCGCTCTGTCACATGCAGCCGGCCTCAGAGAGCTGCGGGGTCGACCCAACGTGCTGCTGCTAGGAGACTCACTGGGAGATCTGACCATGGCCGACGGGGTCTCTGAGCCCCAGAACGTCCTCACCGTTGGCTTCCTCAACGACCAGGTCAGACCGGTGTAGTGCTGTCCTGGGATTTGTTACTTCGACACGGATCAGTTTTAAAAGCTCACTTGTCTGTTTGGTGTTTCAGGTGGAGGAGAGGAAGGAGTCTTACATCAACTCTTTCGACATCGTCCTGGTGAAGGACGAGACGATGGACGTTCCAAACGCCATCCTCAGGTACATTACCTCGTCGAGAGACAACAAGTAAGACGCACAAAAGGATCCGGACTGAAAAATGCACGGATTACCTCATTTACTGCATTCACCCTGTCGCATGCTGGACAATCTCACAGCCTCACTGACCTCATGACTGAATATTTGAACATCAAATCACTCTCTGGACCCGTGTTCACTGTAACGCGGTGCAGATGTTTAAAAACGTACCGTTCTGGTTTCACAGGCACGGGCTGGGCTCCGATTCAAACTGTTTTCTAGTGTTACATCTAACTGGCCACGTGTTACCTCAGCTTAACTCACCGAGCTGCCAGAACATTAAAACCACAGACAGGTGAAGTTGATAACACAGGACTCCGCATTCTCAGAGCAGGACTATGCACTCCACTAAACACTCCACTCAAGAACCAAGCCTACAAACACCCAAGATCCCAATCCACTGAGGTGCTAACTCCATAACCCACAGGATCCAAACGATCCGCTTTATCAGCACATCCTGTTTTTATTTGCAGGCTGCCCTGCGGGTAAAAACAACAACAAAAAGAAAAATCAGTCTGAACCATTAGCCTGCCAGCCCATTTTACAAGTGTTCTTTAAATGACTAACTTTGTAACCATTTGTGCTAGAGACAAAATTCAGACTGTGCCAGAAAGACGAGAAGACAGATTACACTGGGATATTTGGTCTGAACACAGACAGCACTTCACATTACCGCAATTCCTCAGTCATGTTGGGATACAGAAAATTGGGATATAGAAAATTCAAATGATTCCTGAAAGATAAGAATTTTTTTTTTTTTAAATTTTACATCTAAAGTTACAAAATAAGTCCAGGCAGCCTGTTTTTCAATCCTAATAATTACCCTGTGATTTATTTGTTTTTTTAGGAAGAAGCTGTGTTTTATGTGTACTGCGTGTTACCTTTGTGTACGCTGTGAGTACTTGAAGTTCAAGTCTAAACATACTGTGCACATGAGTTTCTTCATAGCATGCCGCTATGACAGTGCAGCGAACAGCCTTTTACCTCTGTGTTTTAAACGTTTTGGGTCTGTGACAGTGGACACAGACACATTAATCCTGCTATGCTATGGCAGTACTTCACAGCGGGTTGTTGCTGTATGTTAAATGCAGTAAGCTTGTTGAGCTTTCTCAAACATATCGTGCTCAAAGATAAGAAGATGTACATGGACTAGCAAGCGTTTATATTTAAATGTACTGTATATTCTTTTTCTTAAATCCAAAGACAAAAAGGATTTCCTCTTGATTTTCTATGCTTATTAACTATCATAAAGCAATAATAAGACCCTGTAAGTCTAATAATAACAACAAATGCAGTTTTATGTTGTGAATCAGTCCTGCTGTAGCATTTCTTTCTATTAGAGGTGTCTAATAACTCCTTTATTAATATATATTTTTAAATTGTTAACAATAGTTTGCAAGAAATTGAAACTAAATCGGTGCATTTTAGTCTTAACACGTATGCTGGTGCTTTTCAAACAACGTTTTTACTGTTTTCTTGTCTGTTTCAAAGATTCCCATTAAGGTTACATCTATTATCTGGTGCAGAAAGCAGAGATGCGAGATCACAGTGAGGAAAGAAACAACAGATTGTAAGAAAAAAGGAAATGGTTTTTCTACAAACATTTTAATGAATGTGGTGTTCAGGGACAAATAAAGGTGCTTATTTGTTTACAGCAATCAAACAGACATTTGTAACACACACAAAAAATGATAGTGAAAAAGATCTTCTGCGCTTTGTCATTTCAAAACTTGAAACCACTAAACCATGACTCCGTGTGGGGGAAAAAAGTCTCTTGTTGCCTGTTTGTTGGTTGTTGCGTTTTTTTTTTTGTACTGTGTTGGAGGTTTATCCCTGAGAGAGAACCAAACACTTTTGTCCTCATCACAACTCCTCGTGCCTTGCCTGTTCCCGCTCTTTGTCCTCATCCACTTTAAGTTTTAGCTCGTTGGCTGTGATCACGCCGTCTTTATTTCGGTCCTGGTTTTGGAACATGTCAGTGACGACCTGCTCCATGGTCAGCCCGGGCTTTATGCGACCTTTGCCCTCTGCCACCTGCAGCTTGATGAACTCCGCAAACTAAAGTTACAGAGATCGAGAACCATCAGTCACAAATTAGTCAGTGATCACCGTTCACTCGCCTGTTCTAACGCCAAAGAAAAACCCTTGTTTCACTATGTGAAAACAATATCGAACATGAATAATAACTATTTAAAATTACAATTTTAAAAAAAAATCAGCGTTGTTCTTAGTCTCACCTCCAGATGGCAGTAAAGTAAGTTGGGTACGTTTCCGTGAGTCGTCGTTTATCGTTAAGAAAAATCACGATTTCACAAGAAAAAAAAAAATCTTACAAAGTACAAGAATCAGTATTTTGATACATAAAACATTAACAGTAACTAATTGTATAGTGTGGGAAACAAATGCAGGCTTATACAGCCTAGTAAGTGCAGGCTAAACTGGCTTGCTTGCATCTTGCCATATACAGAGGTGTGCCAGTCCGTGCAGTCGGGGGCGGAAAAAAGTTATTAGGTTTAGGAAATTGCTTTTTCACTAGGATCAGGTAGATGTGGACATTTTCCCCCTTAAGAAATAAGTTCAACTTTTAAAAACGGCATTTTCTATTTACTTGCAGCGTCTTTGTCTAATGCTAAAATTTGTTTGATAGATCTCAAATATGTTAGTGTGAGAACTATGCAAAAGACTAAGAAATCAATAAGAGGGTCGAATACTTTTTCACAACACTGTAGTTTGCGTAAAGAAAATTCAGTAAATACTTCATAAATCATATCGTGTTCAGTGAGCCTGCAGACTAAAAAAAACAGAACAGAGTTGACAAGCATGAATTAAACTAATGTTAAATAATAATGTGATTATAAAGGAGGAACTCAGACATGATGTCAGTAGACATATTTTAAAAAATCCAACGGTTACTTGGACTACTGATGTTGCTTTTCCTCACTGCCTTTTTTTAAATCCTACTATGTGAAATGACAGTTGTCTACGTACCTCCTCCTGTGGCACCTCTGCATTCTTGTTTATGTCCAAGGCTTCAAACAGGTCTGTAGGAGTGTCCTCCAGCCACACAAACAGGTAACCAGGCGGCACGCCCTTCTCAAAGCTCAGCAGCTCTATGTCAAAGACCAACACGGCGCTGCTCGGCACACCAGCAGCTGGCAGAAAGTTAAAAACACAACTGTCAACATCTGTAAGATGGCAACTTTTACTGGTGCTATGGCCATAAACAAGCATCAGTCATACAGCAGATATCTCACCTCCCCTTTCCCCATGGCCAAGGTGAGGTGGCACCGTTATCACCCTCCTCTCTCCCACACACATGCCCTGCAGGCCCTGATCCAGCCCGTCGATCACTTTGTCTGAGCCCAGGACGACGTCCTGAAGGCTGCCATAGTTGTGTCTGAGTACAAGGCCAGTTAGGAGACAAAACAAAAAGATGACTTATGCTGATCTAAAATTTGAATCGCTGTTAAAAGAGATGAGGATGTGCGTATTTGTGTGACCCACGAGGAAAAGAGCAGCGTCCCGTCCATGAGGGAGCAGTTGTAGTGGTAGCGGACGAGGTCGTTCACTTCTGTGGTCTCGTTACACACTTCGGGTCTGTGGATGACCTGGACAGCCACAGTGTCGTTGGGGTTGTGGAAGTCGATGACGTGGATGTCAAAGACGAGCACAGCAGAAGGAGGGATCACATCACCTGGTGAGACCATAGAGAGGTTTCATTTAACGAAAAACGCACATCAACTATGACCGTCCATGAGCCAATGATGTGATTTGTTATTGGTGTCTAGTTTTTGTGTCGTACTATAATCTATACATAAGCCAGGATAGGATTTATTAGGTATTATGTAGTAGCTTAACACTGCCATTTTACATTTTTATTATGCACTGCATTGACACCCTTAAGACATAATAAGATTTCTGTCAGTTTGAGTTGGTTTTATTTTCTGGAGGAGAGAACTTCCCTGACGCTTGGAAACTTTACACTGACTCACCTGCTCCGTTCTCTCCATAAGCCAGATGTGGAGGAATAGTGATCTTCCTCTTCTCCCCAATGCAGAGTCCCAGCAGGCCCTGATCCATCCCCATTATTACGTACCCCATCCCAATGTAGGTGTTGTAAGTGCTGTTCCTCTGGTAGCTGGGGACAATAAAAAGGCCAAAAATGAAAGTTTATGTTTAAACCTTAAGCTGTATTGGCAGTGATGCGACAGCAGTATTATTTCACATATAAAATGAAAATTAAGCTGCAGCCAAATCAGCAGAGCATGAGCTGACCTGGTATCAAAGGTGACTCCATTCAGGAAGGTGCCGTTATAGTGGTACCGAATGTAATCTCCGACCACGGACCTGCGAGTGCATGACTCCGGCACCACCTGGTTCTCAACAGTGATGTTATCCTTCGGGTTGTGGATGTCCACCAGCAGGACGTCGAACACCAGAGTCGCCTGAGGGGGAATCTCGTTACCTGGCAGACAGAAAAGTGGAGAATTTTGGATGTCACATCTACTAGTTGCAACATGCAAGTGGTTGGATATAAAGAAGAGTTTCATTTTTATTCATCTTTGATTTATTCAAAACTGCAAAGAATAAAAAGGTTTGTGATACACCACAAAAAACGTTTAACTTCTGGTTTCACAGAGTATTTTGCAGCATCCTTAAGCATCAAAATCACGTTGCCTACCTCGGCTTTAATGTTACCGTCTCAATTATTTGACTTATTCTGTTTGTAAAAATGATTTCCCTTCACAAATACATTGATCAGCCACAATCGGTCCCTTCTTGAATCAACATTTCAATCTCTTTATGAAATTCGGAGTTCCTCACCTGATCCCTTTTCTCCGTAGGCTTTGAACGGCGGGATGACGATTTTTCTGATCTCTCCCACACACATGCCCAGCAGGCCCTCATCCATGCCCTTGATCATCCAACCCTCACCTACTAGGGAGTTGTGTGTCTGTTTCCTGGTGTAGCTGCGTGGGGCTCATACAAGCGCAAAGTCAAACACACAACTTCACACAGACAACATACCTGGATGACACAGCACAGACAAATTAGAGCTGTGATTTGGATTAAAGATTTGATGACTTAGACTTAGGGATAAAATTGCCTAAAAATATTGGTCCCATTCAACTCATGCTGGTTTGAAGAAAGAGTCAATAAACATCTTATCTTCTTCAGAAAACGGTCACCAAAGTCAGAATTCACCTGGAGTCAAAGACTGTGCCGACGAGCAGAGTGCCGTTGAAATGGTAACGCACAAAGTCAGTACGCATCACGGAGCGCTTGCAGTCTTTCGGAGTGGTGATGGTTGTGGTTACAACCAGGTCGGCCGTGTTCCACAGATCGAGCAGGTGGATGTCAAACACGAGGGTGGCGTCTGGAGGAACAACGTCACCTGAAAATAAGGTTGGATGACAGTTAGGTGGAAGCTGCCGACAGATATGGGTGGAAGCAAAACAAACAAATAACTTATGGTCACTAAGGCTTTCACACTGTGCTCCAAAATCCACACAAGCATTGATTTTACATGCATTTCCGTAAGTGATACATTACAGTTGAAATGGGATGTTGGTAATTTAGTTTCCGGTACGTTAACGACTACAAATACAGAAGAATAACTCTTGTTTAGATACATTTTGAGTGCCATTAAGTTTGCATTTCAACACTTAATGATGATATTATTATTATCAAGTGTTGTATGACCCCCAAGCTGTTATTTTTGACTTTTCTAAATGTCATTTTGCTGCTACAGCAAGCCTTTGCATTTTTTATTTTATTTTATTATTTTTTAGGGCCTTTTGCAGCCGAACCACCACAGAACAGTGAAGCCACCTTAACTCTTTACCCCTTGAAAGCCTACTAGGAATAACCCTCTCCTGGCCCTAGTTCAAAATGTTAGTGAGAGTGGTCTCTGCCTATGCAACCACCCTTAAAAAACAAAACAAATAAACACAGAAACTATATAATGGTACAATGGGTTGCCAAATAGTGTCTTTAAGGGGGGAAAGTTAGTAAGCCTGCTAAAGAAGCAACAGGCCTGTCTACAGAAACCAGAAAGCATTTCTATGCTGGACAACTGTCAGTTTGTGAAAACGTGATTACACAAGTTTGTTTGTAGATTTGAATCACATACGCATGACATCTGAAATGCAAACAGCCCACCTAGGGTAGCCAGGAAAACTATAGGCTATTTATGCACACTCTAAAACAGAAGAGCCACAAAGTAGCTGCTACGGAGCCAAGTTGAAATCCTGGATATGAGCTGTTGGTTAGAGTGGAAACTCTCTTGTGTGCTATAAAAACATTTTAAAAAGATCTAACTAAACAAGCCCAAATCATTATCATCTATGCAGTACATTGTTTTCTCTAGATTCACAGCTGCAAACTCTTTAATCATCCCACAGCCATATTGCAGTCCAAATTATTGTATGTGTCTACCCCCGTCTGCTGTGGGTTGCATTGAGTTGAGTTGAGTTGGGGCATTTTTGCGCTGTACAAGTCTACAATGGGTATCAATAATCTATTGATAAAAACGTCCTTTGCAAATTAGTGCCTAATAATGTTCACACATGACCTCTGCACTCACCTGCCCCGGTGTTTCCATAGGCCAGCTGTGGCGGGACGGTGATTTTCCTGCGCTCATTCACACACATGCCCTGCAGACCTTTGTCCATCCCCGCAATGAGCCGACCCTCCCCGATCAGGCCGACTTTAGCTGCTCCTTTCTGATGGCTGTGAAGGAAACAAAGGAACGTCACAAGTGGGTCAAGAGAGGGCTGCCTCTGCGGAATGTGCATGTAGAGCCTCATTAACGGAATCTGCAAACTTGCTTGAACTTGTAAATCATTATCTCGGTATTTTTGACATTTCTAAATGTCATTTTGCTGCTACAGCCAGCCTTTGCATTTTGGGGATTTTTTTTAGGGCCTCTGCAGCCGACAATGAAGTAAAAACGTAAATTATAGCGTAATGTGGACCGACTCACCTCGAATCAAAAGTTTTTCCATCGATAAATGTTGCGTTATAGTGATAGCGGACGTAATCTCCGCTTTTCACTTCTCTGGCGCAGTCTTTGGGGATGAAGTATCTGTCCACGACTACATCTCCAAGCACAGGACTGGGGTTACACTCCACGAAAGAGCCGGAGATGAGAAGGAAAAGGGCAATGCAAAAGGAAAACATTGTTTGCAGAATAACTTAAAATTATTATTCAAAAAATTAAAAACATAAATCAGTTTAAGCCCTGCGTTGGAGTGCGCTCTTCACAGCGCAGAGGGGCCGGGCTGCAGATGTGGAGCTGGGCAGCGGTGTCTGAATGCTGTAAACGTGGACAACCTCCAGCTCGCTGTACAAACTTTTTTTCTTACCATGGTGGAAGGAATGTGGGAGCTGGGAGAGGCAAGCCCCTCCGTCAAACTTACCACAATAAGAAAAGAAAAGAAAAAAAACATGAACTCCTTCAAAATAAGATATAGCGGTAACTGCGTTTTACTGGGGAAACCACAAAGTAAAAAACAGTAATGATAAACATAACAGTACACAAGTCCCCGGTCATCACGTGCTTTTTGAAATACAAATCACTCCAATCGCTTCCCACTGAATGTTTTCCTCACATTGGTTTATAATTTAACCAAACACAGGCTTTGAAAATTGTTCTAAATCTCCTCATTCTGGCCTTTGCTTAAACATTATCTCTAATGTACAAAATGTCATCTTTTCAGCATATAACCACTTTGAAGTCTGTCAGTGCGTCTGGATACCTAAAAAATGTAACGTTTGCTTTTTATTTTGAAATTAACGGCGCCTGTTCTTCTAGTGTGCTTTGACTCCTCAGCACCGCTGCACACAGCTGTGGGAAAACCGAATCGCCTCTTTGAGCCGTAAAGTAGCCCGAGAGCCTCAAATGTTTCAGCTTTTCATTAATGCCGTGAAGTTCTGGATCAGTCCAACTCATCTGGTGCTCACTTCCTTTACGTTGTCAAAAAAATCTCAAAGAAACACCAACAATATAGCTCTTATGTTTTGAAAACAAAAAAGATGTCACGTGTAGTGAAGTTTTATTTATCTGTACAAATGAAAACGAGCTCTCTATAGATTATATGTACTGCTTATTGCGTGATATTACTTCAATTTGAAAACATTAAATGGAACTAAAATGAATGACTTATGAAAACGTCACCTTGGTACAACACAGAGTAATCGATGGAAGTGATTTCAGATGTTTCTGTGTAGTCAACAGGATCTATGACGCATCCGTACCTACATTATAATTAAGTATTTTCGGCTCGCAAACATTATTTTCTAGAACTGTGATGTTGTATTTGTTGCAATTTCTTCTGCCCTCTTGGCCAGCTCTCTTGAAAAAGATCGTTTCAAAGATCGGAATGATCTCGAATTGATATCGGTATAAGACATGTTAGACAGATTATAGGCCAATAAGTCATTCACAACAGTTTCAGTATTGACAATCATTTCATAACCAATGCTGGAAGGGATTGTTTTTTTGGCAGAACGCTTTTGGGTATGGCAGGCGCCGAGGGCGCACTGGAAATCCCTTTTACGCACGCGGCGACTATAGGGACAGCTGTGGACCTACATTGAGAAACTTGAGACAGCCGCGGCTGAAAGGCCCAATCCATGAATTCCAACAGACCCCTAAGCGGTTCAGCAGACCACCACCACACAGTAAACGGTAAAGCATTAAGACAGAAGACGGAGGACTGCGATGTGACCTCACCATGGTGACATTATGCGCAAAAGTAGACTCGCTGGTAACACTGCTTTGTGTGACCTTTGTTTTAATGACAAAGGCACAATATGAAAACTACAATTTTCGAAATTTTTCCGGAGAGGACCTCATGCCCCTCACCGCTGCGTACGGGAAGGCGATGGATTATTACGCAGCGGGAAACTGGACGGAATCGATCCAGTACTTGGAATTAAGCCTACGTTTGCACCGGCTTCTGAAGGACAGCGTGAGACACTGCGCGAGCCACTGTAACTCGAGCAAGCATGACGACGAGTCTTTTGCTGGATACCCGGATCTCCGCGTCTACTGGAACGTTATGATGAAGGCGACCTGTCAGAAGAAGTGCAGGGCGCTTTTCCCCGCGTTCCAGCTGCCTCCTCCCGGCCGAGAGATCCTGGAGGATTTCAGCAGAAGATCTCCCTACAGATACCTGCACTTTGCTCACTCACAGGTCAGACAACCTCCAATAAATTCACCACACCCATTTATCTAGAGGTATTTGCAATATGTTAAACTACTATGTTTTTTTTAAATACTTCCGTCTGGTTTGGATCAATATATACATTCTGCGTGTAGACTAATGACAAATTAAAGAAAAATAATAGGTTGATTTCACTTGGACGCGCAATAGAGCAGAAAACTTTAAACGGAGCCATGTGTAATATACCTCCAAATATTCCACTCTGTTGACTTTCAAATGTCGGACAAAAATAAATAATTCTAACTCCTGCAGCGATTTTTGCGGTGATTTTTAGTTTGTGCGATAGAAAAAACAAAACAAAAACACCTCTGTGCGCTATTTCACAACATCCAAAGTAATTTGTGTGCACAGCTGAATGACCTGCAGAGGGCGGTACCATGCGCCCACACCTTCCTCCAGAGGAACCCTGAGGACCAGCAAATGCAGCAGTTGATGGAGGAATACAAGAGCAAGTATGACCTGAGCGGCTACCTCATTGACCACGAAGAACGACCCTACGAGGTGAGAAGCGCTCAGCCATTGTTCTTAAAGTCTGGAAAAGCCTCACTTGCAATCTCTTAAAAAAAAGAAAAAAAAAAAAAAAAAAAGGAGTATGAAGTCTGCAAAGCAACATCTGCTTAAGTCAAAAACAGTTTGGAAATTGTTTAGATAAAGCAAAGAATGGGTTCTACTAAACACTGACTGTATTTACTACATTGATTGAGTCAGTCCAAAAACTGTCCTGATGGAAAAGTCATTATGTTTTCAGTTTCAATGCCCCAAAGCAGATCCAAACTCCACTTGGAAAAAACCCCAGAAATACAAGCCAAAGCTTTTGTGTTGGCTCACACAGACTCCTGACCCAAAAATCTTGACACGCTGCAAGGACGAGTGGGTGCAAAATTTGTATAAAGCTTCCCAAACTTATGCATTCATGTGTTATTGGGGCTAACACATACAAATCAGAAAACAATGAAATACTTCAATGAGACTGAACTGCTTGAGATGTAGAAGGTGCTGTATTGGGCCTTTCTTTTATAAGTAATAGAGTGAACAGACTCTTTACTTGGATTATTTACAATTTGCCAGATAATGGTTTCTAATTTTGTTTCCAGACGTCATTTCTGAGAGGAGTGAAACTTGTGGGTTCGGGCGACTACAGCAGCGGTGTTCAAGAGTTGGAGGAAGCTCTGTGGCTCTACTTCCAGGAATATGACCTGTGTCAGGCCGAATGTGAAGGGATCACTCAACTTTTACCAGACAGAGACTTCTATGCAGTCATAGCAGGTTGGTGTGTCATATTTTAAAATGTCCAGATTATCAATATACTCACTAATGAGCATCTAAACGACACTAAAATCTTCTTTAAAAATAAATATAATGTAAAAGCTGTGATTTTAGAATCAGAAATGATTCTGGATCCAGTGTTTCTTCTGTTTTTCAGCACACTTCTAGTTTCATGTAATCTGAATTCTTTCTGCTTGTCAACAGATGCCTACATTGACACATTAAGGTGCAAACTGAGGTGCGAAGAAAACCTGACACAGAATATTGGGGGTTATTTTGTAGTGAAATTTGTGCCCACTGTTTACCACTACCTCCAGTATGCCTATTATAAGTGTAAGTTCAGCATCATCACAGATTCTGAATATTCTTTCTCAACACTTTCTGCTGTTGAATCTCTGAGTGTTTGTGGTCTGTGTATTCTCTGCACAGTGAACGATGGACGCAGTGCCGTGCCCTGTGCGCACAGCTACTTCCTGTTCGAGCCTGAGGACCCAGTCATGAAGCAGAACCTGCTATATTATAAAGCCTACAGTCAACAGTGGGGGCTTCAGTCCAACCACTTTACCCCCAGGATGGTAAGATGAAAATTGGAAAAGTTTGTTGCAGAATAAAGTTGAATATCGCTCTATAATAATCATGCCACCAATCTTTGTCTTAACAGGAAGCTTTCAAACACTACAACCAGACAATAATGCAAAAAAAGATGTTGGCATTTGCAGAAACATACTTCGGTCTGTCTGATGAGGTGAGCTTCATACAAAAACAGCTCATTCTTTGGACACATAAGAGCTTAGATTGCCTGAAATGCTGAATGAAATCCCTTATAAACATTGATTATCCAATATAATCCAGTATAATCAATCTGATGTTTATTGAACATTCAGGGAGAAGTTTTGTGGCTGCATGTTTTAGCACTTTGTAATGTAATTGCGATCTGGATGGTTCTTCCAGGACTTTCTAGGACCAGAGGAGGTTGCACGGTCGGCCCCAGACTCTCCTGATGCTGAGTTTGAAGGTATTGGAGATTATGAGGAGTCAATTTATGCAAACTGGAAGCAACTGAAGGGCAAAGGGGATGCTGGCGAGTCAGACATCTGACGACTTTCTGGAGTTTACAGAGAATAGTCTGACTATAAGACTATAAATAACCACTTGTTACAACCAAGGTATGCAGAAGAGCGTCTGTGAATGTGCAACATAGTGCCACTCCTGTCATTAAGAACAAGAAACTGAGGCTACAATTCACACAGGATCACCAGAACTGGACAACAGAAGCTAGACTGGAAAACTATTGTAGTCTGATGATTCCCACAATCCGGGTTTCTGCTGTGACATTCAGACAGTGGGGTCATAATTTGGCATTAACAACATAAAAGCGTGGATCCATCCTCCCTTGTAGCTACGGATCTGGGTTAGGATTATGGTTAACACATCATGTCACAAAGCTCAAATCATCTCAAACGTTTCTTTGTGAGTGCGCATGCGCCATTAGCGTGCTGCCTGCTGTAACCCCTAATTTCCCTCGGGATGAATAAAGTATTCTGATTCTGATTCTGATTCTTGAACAAGACGATGAGTTCACTGTACTCAAATGGCCTTCACAGTCACCAGATCTCAGTCAAACAGATCACCTTTGGGATGTGGTGGAATGGGAGATTCCCATCATAGATGTGCAGCAACTGTGTGACAATATGTTGATAGACCAAACTCTGTGATAAATGTTTCCTGCACCTTGTTGAATCTATGCCACAAAGAATTAAGCATAAGCAGTCCTGAAGGTAAAAAGAGACCCAACCCTGTGCTAGCAGTACCTAATAAAGTGGCTGATCAGTGTAATTAGACTTTAAAACTAGTAATATTGTAGCTGTCACAACAAACCGGGTCATTATGAATTATGAACATGAAACTGAAGTAGCAAGTTAGTCAGCGTTGCACAGATGGTCAACCAAATATTTACAAATTATCAAATACTTTCAAGCCAGATTCAGTACAGTTTAATACAGTATATTAAGCAAGTCGGTAACATTGTATTAAAATTGTTTAGCTGTAAACTTCATCTAATGTAACACAAACAATCAGCAACAAAAGTTTAATTATATCTGGATTCATAGCAGCAGACACTCATGCAGTGGATCACAGAGTCACTCGAGTTCAGGTAGGTTTTATTATGGGTTTTAATATACAGTAATATGAGTATTTACACTGAGAGCCAGGTTACCTAAAACTAGACAATGTTGGCTTTTAATAGTGAGTAGTGCCAAAGTCCTTTTAATAAGTCAAACTACAGTATGCGATCACAGCTACAGTAAACATGGTGTGACCTGAGCTTCCAGCACACTCAAGGACAGACATGTCCTAGAGATTTTTTCATGTTTCTACAGCGTTTATGGGTGAAAGAGTCCAACTGTAATTTTAACAGATATGTTAACCCTTTAAATGAAGCCTGTGGTGACAAATATTGAGCACGTGTGACGTTATATACTGTTAAAAGTCTTTTTCTTGTCTACAAAAACAATTTATTAAAGTTATTTTCAGGAGGCAGGAACCCCTTGTGTGATGGACTTCAACTCAACGTATCAACACTCCTTTAACGCTCCTGTAGGTTGGCTGGCAGTGTAACTCGGATAATTTCTTCTGGCACCTGTGCCAACGACTCTTAATGCTATTAATGATAAAATACAGCTTTGTGTGACAATCACAGGAGTATAAGCCTCTTAACCTGATCGACACGCTCTGATACTCAATTTTTTAATGCACTTATATACTGCTCATTATGTGGATCTGTTCAGTCAGAAGTATATAACCTGTAACCATTTAGAGACAAAGCATAATCAGCTAACCTTCAGAAGCCAAATTAATAATTCATGTACATTTCTGGACTTGAGGGAGATCTGTGTTGTCTCGTTATCACTTTTCAGTATGAAAGTCTAATACTGGCATGTATAAAACACACGGCCGTAGCCTGAGTGAGAGCCAGTGACATTTCTGAGCATTCAGAGAAGCTGAGATTTCCCCTAAGATGCAAAGATTTACATCTCTTCTCGCTGATTAAATCATCCAAAACAAGCAGTTTCAGGCGGTAAGACTGTTCTCTCTTCAGGCTTGTGCTTCCAGTCAGAGCGGCAGTGAGTCACTGCTGTCTAAAGGGTCAGTACATTATATATAAACAGCACCCATGTTCAGCATACATGTATGCATACAGTATAGTTTGTATGCGGATTACAGGATCATACAGCGGGATGAAACATTGGGTGCATACATGTGCAGCTGGCCATCCAACACCATCCCTCGCAGGTTGGAACTACACGTTCATACATTAGCAATTATTATGTAGAAGCATTGATTTAGGATTAGGAAAGGAAGCATAAGGGGAGAAATTATGGCTATTACTCTGGAATGTAAAGGTCTACAAAACAAAACCCTCATCTAGACAGACAAGATGTCAGCAGCCTGATATTTTTACACTTCTATTACAGCTAAAGTCACACTTCTGAGAGGAGGTGGTTGTGCTCTCCACGAGGTTAAATATGTAACTGTTCTCTAATACAAGGCTTCATTAAACAAGTCAAGACTGAGCGAGGTGCATGGCCTACCTTCTGTGAAATCATTTAAAGGGGTGAAGCTTTTTAACAGTCAGTACAGCAGAAGACCTGCTGTGACCTGTCGAAGCGAAAAAAAAAAAGAAAAAAAAAAAAGCTTCTGTGTGTGTCCCAGACAAAAAGAAACAAAGATGTGGCAAAATGAAACAGGAGGAGGTGACGGCAGCAAAAGTGACTCAGACAGCTACAGCCAGACTTTATGGTCTGTAGGAGTGCCCTCAGAGCTTCCATACTCCTGATTTATTTTTCCAGGTGGCTTGAGTACCAACATAAGAAACAGGAAAAATCTGAGGGCCAGTAATGGAAGACATCTTTGTTTTGTCTCCTCAGAGTGGACTGCACACAGTGTAAGGAAGATAGGACAGCAGAGAGATATGACTCAAACTCCCTTAGATCTGGAAAGAGAAGAGGAATGGGGTGGAGAAAAAAAACAAGAGGAGAGGATAAGGAAGATAAAGAGGTGGGAGAAGAAGATAAAGATTGAGTCCCAAACTGAAAAGCCAAAGACGAGCCTTTCAGTTTTCTACAATGTAAATGACACAGAGGCAAAAACTGAGGAGAAGCAATCAGCAAAGGTTTATCTTTGCTCGAAAAACTGCTTTAATGACTAATTTAAAAACAGCTGCCAATTAATTTTCTGTTTACTAATCACTAAAGCAGACAGAAGATCAAAATATTTTTTTTAAAATACAAATCAACACAGAAGCTATATGCTAGGAATGGCAACCAACTCTGAAGCGGCACGCAGCACAAATAAAAATGAAGCAAACTAGGATAACACAGTGAATAGGAGTTTGTATATTTTATGAATGGGTACTGCAATATGCACAGGCTATATAAAGACTGTAGTATGTGGCATTGCTTTATGCCATTGTTTCTATACAAATACACATTAATAAAAAAAAGGATCATAAATGAGGAAAAATAAGAATAAAGAAGCAGGTAACAGATACAAGTGAGAGTCCTTAGAAAAAGGTCAGATGATTCTTACAAAACAGATGGCAATACAGTGATATAATCATCAGTGGTTTAATGATGTCCCAGCTTTGGGATCAGCTCTGAAAGGTGGGATCGTACCTTCCTTTCCGGATATTTCTGGAAGTGATGCAGGAAAAAGATAAACAGGGACAGCAATATTATCAACTTTGGTGTTCAAGGAGCAGTGTGATAAAAAAACAAACCACGCAGTGCAGAAAAACTGGCATTTACTTCAAATCTCACATCTTCATCTTTTGCTATCAACAAAGTAAACTCTACTGCCTGCCGGTGCAGGATCTGTCCGGGTAGATACAAGCTATAGTTATGAGATGAAGGCAAAAGATTATGACGAGCGCATCCGTTCCTCTGCACACTGCAGGCGTGCCACGGCAAAGCTAGCATGAGACAAGACAAAGCGGATAAAGCAGGCAGAAGAAAGACAATTGGGAGTCAAATCCAGCTGTGCACACTGAACTATGGAGAGACGTGCTTTCTAATAAGGGATTCTAATATGTGCACCAGTATGCCAGAGAAAACTTCAAAGAGCGCCTCACCAATGCAGCAAAGCACTCCTAACATCACTAAAGTGAGCTGTTGGTGCCATGCAGAGAGGAGGAGAGGGCTGCAGAGGTCTGAGCATACCCAAACACACCCATTGAATTGCTGAGGTCAGTCTGACATGGGAGCTTACAGCAGTTTCACTATCTTGGACAAATTTACCCGAGAGAATAGCAACTAACTGTTGATTAATAAACTGGGGTTTTTTCTTGAATTAACTGTATTAAGAAGAAAAACATGCCCTCAACAAGTTCCTGTCCTCAAAAAGCTCAGCCAACAAGCCCAACCCTAATTTTGTTACTCTTCTTCAAATAGGAGTCAAATTCTAATCATCATCATCTCATGCCATGATGCAAGTTTCAGGGAAGATTTTATGTAAACAAAGCAAAACAAAACAAAACAGCAAGCTACTGAAATGCTTTCATTCGTGCCAAATCCCTCGACATACCCACAGATGGTGAACCATCTACTGCACATCCACCCGCTTTAAGAAGAAACCCACATGCTCTCTTGTGGTGAGTATGGATCAGGCTGCAAGCAGAGAAGCGTTCAGCAGCGAGCTGCAGGCAGGCATCTACGTTAGCTGACAGAAGGAACACGGCAGGCACACACAGACGGAGGTATGCCAGAGCTCTTACTTAAATCCCCAACCAGTTCCCCCCAGGATTATCGCCGCCAGCAGAATAGCCCCAGCAACCGAGCCTATGATGATATTGGTACCACTGGGACCTGTGGGAGCAAAGGAAGAGGCATATAGGCGTGCTGAGAACCAATAAGTCACTTTTTGGGTAGTTAATATACGCATTATGTACATATGGAAAATAAAATAGGCTTCATGTTCTGCACCACATACAGTCAGGTCCTTAACTATTTGGACAATTACACATTTTTTCCTCCTCTTGAAAATGAGGTGCTGCATAAAAATGGCTCCAATTTCCAAACAGTAAATCCAATAGTTTGCTAAAGTTGACAGTCGGCACTTCAATTAAATCTTGATGATTTAATTTTAATTAATCTGGTAGTGCACAGAGGTTATAAATTACAGAAAGGGTAAGGGTGTAGGTGTGTATGTATTTGATTTTCTGTTTTAAAACATTTTAGTTCATGTTCATAGATCAAAAATGAAACTTTAGAAAATCCTAGTACAACTCCAACCAAAGCTTAATTTTTCTGTTTGTTTATTTTTTAAAAATTAAATAAGTCTATTATTACTCCTCCAAGTTTTATTTTGAATTTTTTTTCTTTGTTCTGTCTCCTTTTTTGCAACTACATGTTGTTAAGCTCTGCTGGATTCACTGTAGCTGCAGTTTGTTGTTGAAGAGAAAACAAATGCACTAATTATTTATAAAAAAAATTTTAAATTAATTGTCGCATCTTTTCAATAAATTATTAAACAACTAAATATTATAAAAAGCACATCATTTTAAACAGCATGAAAGGTATGAACTTAAGATACGGACTTCAGATACGAAACCGACTTCTGCAAATGATTAGATGATCAAAAAGCAAATGAGCTCTGTTACTTTAGTGGAGCTGGCGGTGCGGAGTCTGTCTGATGAAAGGACTAAACTGCTCTGTGAGGTTACCTTTGTACTTCTCTGGGCCATCTGGCGAGGTGGGGGTTGGGATCGGGTCAAACACACTGCAGTCCTTCCCGGTGTAGTCTGGATCACAGATACACTTCACCTCGTTACTGCACGTCTGCAGGACACAGAGGACGAACATAGTCAAAGCTTTATAAATGAGATGACGTTCTAAAGTCCAAATTTGAAACAAAGGAAGCTCCGAGGTGGGACAGATGGCGGTTGTGGACTCACCCCGTGGTGGGAGCAGATACGCAAGGATGAGGATCCAGGGCAGGTGCTGAGGTTGAAGGTGGTAACGGGGAGGCAGCGACGCTCCAAACACATCATGTTCGGCCCACATGGTGTCCCATCTTCCACATAGCCCAGATCCAAGCCATCATCCAGCACTGCGTGACCACCCCTGTGGGTCAGACAGTTATGTCAAATCATGCTTACCTAATATAATAATGTCTTCATGTGCAATCTTTTCCAAAAGGCTAATTTTCTGAGTGCATTCATCCACTACGGACAAAGAACTAAAATTTAAAAAAAAAAAAAATAGATGAAGCTGATATTTTTTCATGCCGAGGTTTTGAATTTCATCAGGCTGCCTCACCTGCAGTCCAGGTATCTGCTCTGATGGTGGATGGTCAGGCTGGTGACCTTTCCCTGCAGCTCGCCAAATCTCGGTCTGTCTGTCAGATTGGTGCAAAGCAGCAAACCACACAGAACATCCCTGATGCAGGAAACCGAGAGAAGATGGAACAATAAAAGCTTAAAAATATTCCAGATAATCTAATTAATTATAGGTCACAGTTCTGTTGTTATACACAGAAAGTTATATTCACTGACTGTTTATTGCACGGCACCCATCCCTGGCCACTGGAGTGTGGACCACAGTTTCCTCTCTCTGTGCCCTCAGAGTTCAGCTTTTCATAGCAAAATCTGTCAGCTGAGTCTGGGAAAAGAGAACAAACTCGCATTTATTACAGTGAGTGTTACAATTAACTTATTAAGAAGATGTAAAAACACAGAGGTTATGGCCAAAGAAAAGCGTTAGCATGAATAGCTATTAAAGGGCAATAAAAAAAATAAATCAAGAAATAAAGCTCATTATCAAATCCAAACCTACTGAAGCCCCACAGAGTCTTGCACTGGCTATCTCTGGTCTTGCAGCGACCTCCATAACAGCGACCCTGGCAGGGAAAAAGAGAGGAATTAAAGATGCAGAGCAGATAAGAGAGGGGGGGAAGAATGTGCTATTAAATATAACTGTAATTGAACTTTACTTGGCCATCTTCACACGTGTAGCCATCCAGTTTGTGGACATTATGGGGACACTGGAAGAGAAATAACATCATCTGCCTTTTTAGAGTCACTGTGGGTGTTAGATCTCTGAATTTCTCTGCAGGGTGCTCTTTTTCACCTGGCTCGAGTCTCCCGTGCAGGTCTCAGGAATGTCACAGTCATTCACAGCACTGCGGCACGTCACCCCTCTCAGCTCATACTGCAGCAGCAGAGGAGAACACAAATGTGAGACATGTGGAGGAATGGTGCACGGAAAATGAGATGGACACACAGTCAATCTGTGCTATCTAGTTAGCTCCTCCAAGTCCAAAGCTGGTCTACAGCTGCGAGCTCTGTCAGCCTCCCCACAGAAGTCGAGCTCCATTTAAATATTTAATTTTGCCTCAGTTATGGAGGAAATAACAGTCCTCTGTTAATGAACCAGCAACACTGGCTGCACCTCTACCAAGATTTTATATCAGTTTGCACCATCGTAGCATTTCCAATCAGCCTGACGGAAATGCAACCTTATATTCTCAGATAAGGTATCCGCACAGGGATCTTGGGGATGGAAAGAATTATGGTTTAATGCATTAAAACAGCTTACCTTACAATCCCTGCAGCAGAGCCCATTGCTGCACATGGCATTATGGGTAAGAGTGCACTTTTTGCAGCAGTTGGCTCCACTCAGGGTGCACTCCTGCAGGGAAAGAGTGTTTTCTTTTAGGTCCTCACATCCCAAACTCATAACTAATACCTACACTTACAATCTAACACAGTATAAAGACAAAACTAGTTAAACCATCGTTGAATTAATTAGTTTATGCTCACCACCAGTGATCCACAGTCGCATTCCTCTCCAAGCTCTACATACCCATTGCCACACTCTGATGGGTCTAGGAGCTACGTGGGAAACAGACGGTAAAAACACATTTCTAAAAGGCACAATGTGAATCCATTCAGTCTATAGCAAGAGATGAGAGTTTTTCTTATATTTCTATCCCTACAAAAGAGATTAATCTTGACCTTAAGAGCCTCTGATAGTAACTGACTATCTCTCACCTTTGTGGGCTTGTTGAAGAGGCAGCTGCCTCCACCCTGCTGGAGGAAACGCAGATACTCATCTATACTACAGCGAGAGAACTTCCTTGGCAGGTAGTAGCTGATTAACACAAGAAACAGAAAATATTTAGCAATTTATCAATTAACTGAAAAATCTGTTGAAAATCAAAAGACATCTGTTTTTGCTCAGAATTCTTACTAAATGTACAGAAAGCTTAATTTATTGTTACCCTGTATCCTCCATGATACAGCCCAGCCACGGATCTGGACACCTGCAGTCACCTGGAGAAAAGAAAAACAAGCCTGTGCTGAAACTGAGGATGTGCTTGTTATACCTGAAACAGTGAGATGATGCGTTTGCTCAGTGATAAATGTATAAGAATAAGCTCAGTGGGCAAATTAAATGAGTGCTGTTTATTAGATTTCTTATGGTGGTGGAGGGATGATGATTTGGGCTCGTTTTAAAGCCACAGGATCTGATTATCTTGCAGTCACTGAGTCTAACATGGTCTCCTCTGTATGCCAAAGTATTCTAATCTCAAATGTGAGTCCTGTGCAAGGCTTTAGTTCAGCTCTACACTGAGTTTTACCAGCAGCTGTTCGCTCTTTGTTCCTTAGCATGCCGATGTTCTGACCAAGACTCTGAGACAATGTGATGGCCATAGGACCCACACTGCCAAACTGAAGAAACACACAATCAAACACGCTAATAATTATCCTCACAAATATCAATATTTAGAAGTTTAGTAGACAGTAGAGAGCACAAATGTCACCTCATTGATCCCTCCACCCCGAGTCAACGAGCAGATGCCCCCAATGTAGGCTGCCTCGCTGCGGCTGCTCATGAACGTCCTCCCACTGTGGCAAAGACAAGACTGTTAGGAGAGAAGGAGAGCAAGCCGGAGGAGGATGAGGACAAGAAAAGGAAGACTCACGAGAAGAGATGCACAGCATCAACGCGCTCCTTGATGCTCTCCTTCCTGTACTTCATGAAGTCACGCAGGGTGAGCAACGGGTCATCGCCGACAGCGACCCTGTTTTCAGACGACCAGGTTTCCATGGCTACCAGGACGATGCGAGTGTTGAGCTGCTCCTTGTAGATCTAAAAGAGATAATCAGCACGTGATTGTGCATCCTCACCTGGTATGTAATCAATCATTTAAGTGCCCAATTTCTGTGAACAGTTGCAGTAGACCCCTCTGAAAGGAAGAGGGTGCTGTGGGATAAGGCTGTGGACTAGTTCCTTCTTTATAATAGAGTACAACAGCTCAGTCTCGAAGAAAAATAGCTCGTCTTAGATGGTTCTGTCTATTCTTTTAATGACAGCTTCATGAAGCTGTGTAAATAAAATTTCCATATAAAATCTTTTGTCAAAGCTAAATTTGTCATGGTTTAGGTAGGAGGTCATTCAGTATTCATACATATTGGAGGAATATGCAAATCACTAATATTCCCAGTGCAGCTGGTTAAAGATGCTTCAGCTAGACCGTAACATGTAAACCATCTTTCACTCATCCTGGCAACGTTTCCAATGTAACCTTTTGCCGTCTACCTAAAAATCCCTGTCAGAGCTGGTTAACTCCAGATCAACCCTCCAGATAATTCCATCTGAAATCTTTGGATACAATCTGTTACGCTTAAATGTGCTATATTAATTCATATTTATGAATAATAATGATTTAAATTGTGCAATATTGCATATAATGGAGACAGTTGTATCCATCTACTTCAGTGGTGAAGAAGGAAGGCAACAGCTGGTTGCCACAGAAACCGTCACTGTTCCCAGCCAGTGAAGGGTTTCACAAGCTGAGGACAAAAGCATGGAGTGATTTTTTTTTTGCTCTTCAATTGGCTGTTTTAGAGGATAATCATATGCAATCAGCTCCATTCCACACACAGCAGGAAAAAGGTTTTTATATAAATGATACAAAAGGCTCACAGTGAGTGCTCTGAGGTTTCTGACTGTAAAGGTTCATCGCTTTACTCCGTTCATAATAAACATCTCCAAAATAATTCATCCTCCACTATAAGCACCATTTGTCCTACTTAAAATCTAAACATGCAACATTTTCACTTCTGTTTGATGTGCAATACTCTGCAAAAGTCTTGGCTCAGCCCTCATTTCTTCATATTTTAACAGGAAAATGGGAAATAAATGGGCCATTTATTGAAACATGTGCAAATACACATGCAAAAATAGTATAAAAGGTAAAAATAAAGTTTGAGAGTGAATATGATTATCTTAACTCTTCAACACAGGCTGAACTCTACTAGTCAAGCTTTCCTGTGATTTCTTTAAGTAGCCTTCAGAAATATATCACCAGGCTCATTGAGGACAAAAAAAAAAGCTCCTCTTTGGATGTTGGCTGCTTTTTGTTCTATTCTGTCAAAACAATTCCCATATTGCTTAAATAATGTTGAGGCCCATTCTGTGGAGGCCAGTCCATGACTGATGACTATCCAGGTATGCTTTTGCTGCACTGACAGTATGTTTGGGATCATTGTTATGCTAAGAATTTAGGCCACTGTCAATCAGAGTAAAAAAAAAAAAAAAAAAAAAAAAAAAAAAAATAGCTACAAATGGCTGTAGACACTCACTGTTGTAGCTCTCTCCACCTCCTCCGTACATACTGATCATATTTTTGGTTCAAATTAACAAGATTGAATTCATCCCATTTCTTAAAGACATGACTTCCACATACTGTGGCTACTTCTTTTGTCCTCCACTTTTCCATGCCAATCCCATTTTTCAGTTGGCAGCTCTTTGAGAATCACCTTGTTGGTGCAAAAATACTATTTTATGTCTGTCAAACTGATATTTTTGACACTTTTAATAGATTAAACTAAAGAAATTATAACAAATTATGTGCTTTAGCAACAGACTGCTAGTAACAACATGCCTAAAGACACCATTTAAGATACCTCTTTGGTTTTTTGCTAAGCTGTCATGTGTGTAGACACATCCCTTGATTAAGGTGCCATTTTTTATGCTTGAATGATTTATGGGTGTTAAACATTCCTCTCAAAAAGGTCAGATACATGAAAAAGAGTGAAAAAGCAGCCAATGTCCAAAGAAAACCTATTGCATTTGAGAAAAAGAAATAATAATGGACATGGCTTAAAAACAAAGTCACAGTAAAATGGCTTGTAGGACTTTCCCCAAATACAAAACGGCAGCTGTCCAACTCAGAAATGTTTCATCTGCCAGAAAAGCCTCTGAAATGTGGCAGCAGCCATAAAGAAATCTTGAGAGCCCCTGATTCAATATGAGGGAAGCCATGCTTAAAGAGAAAACAATCAAAACATCAAGAACTCAAAAACATTTAAAAACTTACAGATTTTTTGTTACATTTATACCATCTACGCCTGTCCTTTAAGCACTGAACATCAAAGGTTTTATCTGCTGCAGGGCTTAAAACTATTCTTATTAAAAATATAAAAATAAACTCCTCACCAAATCTGCCATGTTCACCACCGATTTAGAAAAAATCTTCGTCTGCGTGGTCGACCGGCGTAACTGCACAAACTAAAAAGAGAAGACCATGTTACTGCAAGACTCACAATCAATTATTATCACTCCTGTTACTCAAACAAGGCAAAAGAGAACTTGTGGGAGCTGCCGGGTTCACAGATACCAGTTCATAATCGTTGACCACCATCAGCTCGATGTACTTGGTCTCAGTCTGGACGGTGCGTTGGCCTCGCCTCACCTGGAAGAGGGCAAAATAAAATCCACAGAGCCAGACGTTTGAGCGTGCTGTCACTTTAACCTTGATACAAGATAAACAGACAGAACACCACAACACACACACATCACAAAACCAGCAGGTGGAACTATTACTCACACTGCATGCGTGCACACATGCTGACACTGATGAAACTCTAGAGTGTGTCCTTGAAAAGGCAACACAACATGGAGATCATTCATTCATAAGCAGATTTTAGTTACTTGTGCCTGAAAAGATCGACTTCAGCGTGAGCATGATTGCTTTAGATGTTTGATAGAAAGAAAAAAAAATGGCTCTGAAAAATAAATGTGCTCAGGTGGGTTTTCTTTGTTTTTTGTTTTTTTAAATACTCAGACCTAAGTACAGCATGTTGAGCAAACAACTGTCATCACATTTAGATTCTAACTTTATTATAGTGTGATTAGTCCAGAGAGCACGAGACTGACTTATCTCAACTGAAACCAGCTTTGCACTCATGAAAGAGCCCATTGATCACAGGTAAAAATGGGGTTTGCTGCCACTGAAGGTCATTTTTTAATTTGTAGTACTTTGGATAATGTTGAAAGATGAAAAGTTACAGGCAAAAAATCATTTTATTACAGTTGTTTTTAAGTCTGCTCTGAGTTAGCCTGAAGGATGCATACAGACATCTGTGCAAAGCCAAACATTCACCCTGTGAAGGTAAAATTAATGAGGAACCATAAAGGCTGTCGCCCAGACAGACATCTCTTCAACTTCACACCTTCACTTCTTTGTACGAGTCTACAAGTCAAAACAGAGTTCAAATTTATTCCAGAGGTGTTGCCTCAGAATTTCTCTCTCTTTTTTTTTCCTAGGACTGTTTTTAATCAGAATTAAAAATGAGTCATATCATCATCTGACTTATTTGTAAAATATTAATTTCTCCTCACTGATGATTCTCTGTTGGTGACTCTCTCAGCATTGCTGCTGCCAACATGATCCCAGCGGGCCAACTGTGTGTTTGGAGGTGTGTGTGCAGATGAAGAATCAGAGCTTGAAGGAAAACTGACTTGTCTTCTTGAGCGTCGAAGACCTTCTGTGAGTATCGGCTTTTCTTCGGTAGACCAGTTGACTTCATCGCTTAGCTCGCCATCCTCTTCGCTTTGCCTGCGTGACTGCATCTTAGCCTCTGTGCTGTTCATGGAGCATCCTGCAACACATAAGCAGACACCACTGAGAGGGAAAAGTGGCTGTTATCATTCCAGTGATGGATGCAACCATGTATTTTAGTCCAGTGATCTGCAGGAGAAATCAATATCAGAGCCCGTGGTAGGGAGAGCAGAAAAAAGGGGAGCGCATGAGCACAAATGGAGAGAGTTAGGGGTGAAGAGGCACAGAGGAACAGGAATGAGCGGGGAGGTGACTCCAGAGAGGAAGAGTAAGGGACAAATGGGCGAGGTGGAGAAGGAACGCAGCCAAATGAGACGTTTAGGAAGGGCGTGGAGGACAGATGGACAACCTGAGGACTCTGAACGTGAAGGGAGTGAAGAAGCAGAACCAAACAGGGGCTTGCATTACAGAACATTTGACTGCATTAGATAACTGTCAAGGACAAAAGTGTCGTCTCCAAACAAGGAATAGCACCAGCCTTTGAGGTTTAGTAACAAACTGCGTCTCGTCAGGGTTTCATCAAAATAAGATCCAGATTTTTAAATGTATCTTTTTCCCCACCACTAACAGCTCCTCATAGTGAATTTCTCTATCATTAAACCAATGAGAGCTTATATGAATACTGACATTTGGAAATTACTGTACGAGAAAAAAAACGAGAGGACTTACCTGGACAGGGAGGTGGAAAAAGGTCAGTGTTAGGCATTCGAAACACAACGTGGTCATTGTTCTCCTGGAGGGCGACAGGGAAGAACACAGAGGGAGAGGAAGATGGAAACAATTTAATGAATGTCAATTTTTTTCTGTAGCTGAAATGCAGCAAGGGAAGCCAACAAAGAACAAAGAACCACACACAAGCAGCCAGTCTTTTTCTTGTTTTGTCTAGTTTACTTTTTTCACTAATCAGCAAAATCCTTATTTTAAAAGAAAAAAAAATATTATCGAGGGCTGAAAAACTGCCTGAATCTTCTTTGCAGAGCCAACTGGTCTCAAAAAAAGAGGAGACGTAGAAACAAAAGGTGCAAAAGTAAATGATGCTAAATCATTAAATGATTCTAAAAATCTGGAGAAATCTGTGGGGAAGTTTCCCACCCCACAATTAGTCCTGGATGCCTGTGATCTTCATACCCTCAACCAGCACTGCATTAAAAACAGATATGAGTCAGTTAAAGAAATCACTGCATGGGCTCAGGAACTCTTCCAGAAATAATTGTGAGCACAGTTCATTGTGCCATCCACAAATGCACAAATGCATATTAACACAGTCCTCAGGACTAAAGAGGAGCGGGACCTCTTTAGTTGTTATTAGTACTCAGTTCAAAAGCCTGCATCCCTGATGCTATAGGAGTGCATTAGTGCCTATGGATTTGGCAGCTTGTACACCTAAAAAGGTATATATAGGGTTTAGAGCAACATATGCTCCCATCCAAATGGCGTCTGTTTCAGTGAATGTCTTGCATATTTCAGCAAGACAATACTAAATCACATACTGCATCCATTAAAACAGCATGTCTTTTCAGTAGAAGGCCTAACTGCAGCCCAGACTGCTGAGCAGCTAGAATCCCATGTCAGGCAAATATTTGATCTCATTACTCTTCCAAAACTCCAGCAACTGCTCTCCTCAGTTCCCAGATGTTTATGGGATGCTGCACAGAAGTAAACATGTTCTTTTATGACCAGGGAGGAATTGAGCTTCAATCAGGTACTCAGAGGACCTGTGTTTATGTGTATATGTCACTCATCTTGGGATTTATGTGTCATAATTTTTAATGTTAAAAAAAAAAAAGCAAAAAAAAAAAATTCAAAGTGAACCAGCAGCCGGTAGAGATTTGGAATAAGTGGAAATCTAAGCCTTGAAAACCTGTACTGGGATTTGATCGACAGACGTGAAACTGCAGAAAGCATTCAGTTAATGGATCTTAATGCTGCTGAAGTATTAAATATAGTTTAGAAAAACATATGCTTAAATCATAGGAAACATGAATGGACTTCTCATTGTGAACTTAAAGCTTCTGTGTGGAAAAAAAAAAAAAAAGTAGAAAGTGCTGATGCATATTTAATCAATCACAGGGCTGTCATAATGGCAGCAACTCCACTGGACACAGTGGTACACTTGAGCTGGGGATAAATACTTTATGAAAATGACCCATTTGAGAGAGAGCTGAGGAGAGAGGAAGAGAGAGAGTGAGGGAGTTTGAAGATGAGCTGAGAGGCTATTGATTCATCTCTCCAGTCTATGTAATTGAGCTGTACTGCGATCACTGAGCCTTAATGGAAAAAATTAAAAAAAAAGGCTCAGCCTCTTCCTCTCTAAACACTTTTATCCCACTCACATCAGTCACTCTGTTGAATCTCCATTTATTTTAAATGCAACTCTTTTAAGATCAAAATCTGAATATTTGTAAAGGGCCAAACTTTCTTTTTGTCAACTTTTCCTTCGCTCACCTGCCTCCAGCAGATAATCTGCTTCTTTTCAGACATTGGAAATGTTTCCGTGGTGGTGGATTGTGTGTATATTCAACACTTTCCACTCAGAAACTCAGAGATAGAGTAACACTGACGGTAAGTTATGGAGAGCGGAGATACTGTGAGAAAGTGAGACCTGACAAAGCAGCTCCCAAACATGATTCAAAGTCCTCTACTGAAAGAGAGTCTATTACATGTGGCCTGCTTAAATAAATATATAAATAAAAGTGAAAGAAAAAATATGAACGCATTGTCTTTTCACATCTTTTCATGGCGTCGCCGGAAGTTACTTACCGCTCCAGTGCCAAGAGGTTCGATCCCGTAAGAGAAGTTCCCGTCAGAAAACATCCCCCTAAATAAAACAAAACGATCATGTATGATAATTGCTTCACCACTTCTTTTCTAAAATGTGTTTCTATTTATCAGAAAACAAATAGAAAGGTGGATCGGAGGAAGGTGAGACTTATTTATTTTATTTTAAACATAAATGACCCTTCAGTCTTTAATCTTGGTTCAATAATGTTGAGCTCCAGGCTCTGGGGAAGCAAATCCATAACTGCTAATGTTCTACTGTAGATCTATGTTTTTATTTGTGGTATTGCATTGTGGATAAAAATCCAATCACACTTTTCTGCTTTCATAATTAGTTAAAATTATGAAAGCAGAAATGATGAAGCCTCCAAAACCCCAGCAGAGCCTCTACCGTGTTTTATAGATGGCTGTAGAACAATGTTCCCTCTAATTTTTCATGTGTCTGAGCAAACACACAAACTCCCTGAGCAGACACTTGGACCACTGTGAGCAACAGCAGACGTGTGCACTGTGGTCACGCCAGCATCGAATCCATCCAAGTTACATGGTTTATTAAAATAATCAAATTACAGCATTTACATTTATGTTAGACTACTTTTAATTAACTGCTTTAGCCCACTTACAATGAAAATTAAAAAAAAAAAAATCTTGTTCATGACCTGTGTAGTATGTTAACACTACTGAAGGTAAAAATAACTCAAACTCCAATTCAGCAGTCGCCTCATTGTTCTGACACACACAAAACTATTGACTACACTACACACTAACTACACAAGATTTGCGCAAATCTCTCACATCTCAAAACACGCCGTCATTCCTACAATTTCCCCCTTCCTAAACAATAAATGCCATGTTGCCATACCATTTTTTGATTGGTCGACATGGTACATTTTTCGACCAATAGGAAAGGGTGGGGGTTTTTTGGTTTTGTCTTTGCTCACAGGCTTTCGAGCGTTTTCCTTATAAAACGCCGTTTTTACCGTTTCTTCCTGCAGTAAATATGAACAACGATCGTATTCAGGAAGAAAACCAAACATTGCATATATTTATATCATAACTCTGGTTTTACGTGACCTATCAACACAATTTAAAAACTGGTATAAAGTCCACTCTTTTTCCATCAATTGTTCCGTTTGTCCTGCTCACACCTCCAGTGGTTGTACACGTTGTCATTAACGTGGCTTCACTCTTTTTTAATTTGCATTTATCACTCAATAAGATTAGTTTCCACTGATTTTCAGGCCGTTTCGTGCATAATTTGGCATAGAAAGTCTGGCTCATTCGAAGCAAATATAAAGAAATGTGGCTCAAGACTTTTGCACAGTATACTGGTGTGTGTGCAATTGGGTTTGATTTTAAACAATTAAAATCATTGCTTGGGTTCTCATTTGTTGTAGTGACTTAATCTGAAATGTAGCCCCACAGCGTTGGACTCACTGCAGGCCGTGGCAGGTTGACAAAGCAGCCCAGGACCCCGGCACTCCTCGTATTCGCCCGTGGTAGAAGCAGTGCTCCCCTCCCTGAAACCAAACAAGAGGTAATAGTGAGACACTGATACTGTCATCATCCAGTAACATGTACATGTCAAATTTCAGAAAATGAAGCCAACACCGTCTGCGAAGCCCTCAATGCCACTGATCTTTTGGCCCATATATACATAGGTAGGTATTTTCTGTCAGCGTGAGGCCTATGATCAACCAGGAGGGTTGTCTGAAGGAGATCAGTGACTACTGTATGATTTGGTGTCTGGGGAAACCTACACCTGCTGCAGCTGCTACAGCTGAGTAGAGTTTCAGCAAGGGAAAGGAAGTGTGCATAACAGAGTGTGAGTGGGTATGCATCAGAATTTCCTAATTCACTGGAAGATAGCGTCAACTACAGCTATCTGAAGCACAAAATTCATTAAAGTCAAGGTTGAACCCATTTAAGTTGAAAATGAACAGGTGTTTTATAAGGAACTGCTCAAGTCCATCAGCTGGGAAGTACACAGGATCTCAAACTGTACCCATCACTCACACAGACACCTGACATGGGCATATTAGACAGACACAACGTCAATGATGTATTAGTTCACATGCCTCTTGATCCATTACATTTCACAGGTTACTGTAATGTGTAAAATACAGAAAGAAAGTGATATGCTTTTCTGTCATTTTGTGGCTGTAATGTACAAATTACCGTAATGAGAATTAAAATCCACCAAGAAGACTTAAGACTTACAAGCGATCCTATCCAGAACAAATGAATCTTGTCGATCACCAAATGATGAACTCCTTCCGTTCAGGAGTATCATGACTTAGCACTTTGCTAATGGTAAATGGACTCAAAGCACTTCCTACTACAAGTCTTATTCACACTAAGCACACATATATTCATACAGTGTTTAAATAAATGCTTAAGCAGTTTAGCTCAAATTCACATGCACACTCTCTGATGGATGCATCAGGGGCAACTCGGGGTTCAGTATCCTGCTCAAGGATAGTTTAACACATAGACCGGAGGAGCTGGGGATCAATTCGCTGACCTTCCGATTGTCAAACAACCCGCTGCACCACCTGAGCCACAGCTGCCATGAATATGGAAGTTAATATTGTTCAGTACATCAGGCACAAGTCTTAATAAAGGTTACACCGTGAAAACATGCTTTTAGTACTGATGGTTTAAGTTTTAAGTTGACTTTGTGCTAAGCTAGCCATTATGCTAGTTGTTTGAGACAACTATGAAAAGTATTTTTTCCCCTTTTGGCTCCGTATAAATGTCAGTGATTGCAGATGTCCTGGACATGTGCTGTGGTTGTGAGCAGAGCAGCCCCACCAACCGTTCTGTTTGCAAGCGGCATACAATGAGAAGAAAGTTTAAAGGAAGGGACAGTAGCAGGGTATGCAGCAGAGGGTATTTTAATGAGGAGAAAAGCGGTCACTTCATGGAGCTGCTTTGAAATGCAACTCTGGAAAGAGAATTAATGAACTTGTCATTTTAAATCATGTGTATACATTTTTTTTCTGCTAAAAATAATTATAAAAAAGCTATTTTGAATTGACCCTAAAAATCACAAGAACCTTTTTACCCCATTGTAAAGAATGCAATGATTTAATAAACTGAAGATAATAATGTCTCTAATTTCTTAATGCATGTTCATAAAATTAGAGACTTCAAATTTGGAGCTTGCAAGAGAGATGGAAAAAAAGGTTATATTAACACAACAGAAGCAGAGATATCTGATTTTCAGTCACTGGATCCTACATATTCAAACATGCAACTTTAAAGTGTTTCTCCAGACAGTCTGCCTGATAGACCTATACATTACACACCATCTATCAGTCAGCTGACACCACTTAATTTTGTTGATTCATCTGGAAAAATCCCCCCCAAAACTACAGACAGAATCTACAAGAGCTACAAAATAAAAGAGGTTCTAAAGGCTGATGAACTGCTTGTATGCCCCTCTAATAAAGGATAAAATTAACTCTGATAATGAGTGACTGTCTCAATCCATAGCCAAGTTGGCAGAACCACTGGAAGGAGCAACCTGTACACCTCACTGCCAGGTAACTCCACCTGATTATTCATAATCGCCTAAAAGGATCCAACTGAACGATCATGTTTTGGACGTAGTGTTTGTAATCTGCGTCTCGCAGTACAGGAACGATCAGATTACGACAATCTGAGAGGAGACTGGCTACTGTCAGTCAAGTGACACGAGCATGGTTTTAAATGTGCGAGCTCAAAAAAGTTGAAGGAACAAAGAATTTCACAAATAATAATCATGCATGCTTTAACAGAGACAATGGAAATTAAAGTTAGGTGTTTTGTTTGCAAATACCTGGAACTCAGGTGTGCGTGTGTGCGCGCGTATGCATGCATGTGACTGTGAGAGAGTCAGTTTCAGGTGTTTGTAATGAACCCCAATAAGTCATGTCTGCTACCCGATCCTGTTGTCATCCAGCACGGCCGACAGATCAAAAAGAAAAAGGGGCAACTTGGAGCTGCTGTTCTTCATGCTTGGCCGACCTTTATCTGAGCTCCAGCTCAAAGCTGAAAGCTCACAGAGAGATCCTGTCATGTCTAAGTTATCTCTCAGACACATGACATCCTTGTTACTTTTCAAAGACAAAGGGCATGTGTAATGTATTTTAACTGACACCGAGTATTACTTTCACTGCAAGGTCATTTCAACTGATCTTCTCGAAGGTGGATTAAATCTTCACAGGTACATCTGCACACACAGTCGGGCTACTGTTGATGACAAATTAATGATCAGTCTGGTTGTCTGTCAGCTACAAAATCATCATTCAGTCCAAAGTCAGTCACACGTGTCTCTTTTATCCCTCGCCACACATGAGCTTTATATGAGGCTCGCTCTCTTGGAGCAGAATGCTGTCTGGCATTTTATTCTGATTCAATTAAACCAATGGAAACTGCTAACTCTTAAAGGCCAACAGTTACGTGTGATTAAACTAAGATGAGGTCTCCATGTAAAAAGTTGTAATCTCATAGTGTTCTGACCAGATTTATTCAAGGCTTCAGAAAAGACATTAGCTTAGAAAAGTTCTGCATCAACGTAACTAAACTATCTCGGCGTTGTCTTCACGAAACCATAGAAACACTATATATAAATAAAATTTAAAGGAAAGAACATGTCTAGGGTGGGTCCACAAGGTTAGCCATTTTATTATACTGCATGAAATGTTCCTCCCACAGTCCAAATACATGCATTTAATAGGGTATGGTCAGCTGGTGATTCTACATTGCTGGGACTCTTATTCAGATTGAGTTCAGGTTATTGATGCAGCCCTCCACAACAGTCACAGTTTCTCATGCAGATCACTACAACCGCCCCATGAAAGACTGGGACTGCACCAATAAGCTTAAAAAAGGCAAATAATTAATTTTAATATTGAGCGAAAGTGAATCCAGGTTATTAGAGAGGGATTTCACAACAGCCACAGTTTCTCATGTGGCCTGCTGGGAAAAATTACGGCCTAACTCCTCCCCTATTTACAACACCATAAAAAAATCAGTCAGTCAATCATTTTCATTCGACAGCCAACAGCACGAAGAGGCCAAATAATGCTGTAGCATGGGCATGTACTAAGCGCAACTTGGGCGTTTCACTCACATGTAAACATCATGGTAGTGCTAAAAGGAAACATGAGAAATGCCGACTTCACTGGCAATAATAAGCTAATAAGGAACAGCAGCTTGCTATATAGATTTATATCCAAAATTAAGGCTGTGAAAATCAACATTAAACTTTTACACTGATATATAATTTCAGAGATCAGCTCAAAGCTAACAACAATAAATTAAACAGTGCTTCCTTCCAGACATTAGAGTAAGTCCCAGTATTTTTATGAAGCTTATTTACATGCGGCATCAGTTCTAGTCTGTCGAGGACTAAAAGAACATTCATCATTCATACCGAATAGTGAAGCAACTCACAGCACTTAGCAAGTTAATAAATAAATAAAAGGTAGGATTACGAGACTAAATGGAGGAAATCAAATTGCCTGACACAGCAGGCACACACTGACTGTCAGGGACTGAGGATGCTTTTCAGAGTTGCACTTCACGTGATGTCCACTCACTCTTCCATTTAAACCACACTGAAATTTTATTAGTGCTGGAAGGACAGCGACAAGTGAACTATGACGTTAAAACCGAGAAATTGTATGAATGAAAAAGGAAAAGAAAAAAAACCAAAACTGCTTGCACTCACAAATTGAGACAGTCATGTCCTGCAGAAACAACCGTACTGAACTTGACATAATCAGCTGTAACAGAATTAGAAAAGCTGGAGTGCTTGATGTCTGGACTCAGCATTGTTCAGAGTCTGAGAGCAGTGGGTGGGTGGCGGGGTATGAAATAATAGGTACTAATGTAAAGTGAAAAAGAGGACTGGAAAGAACAAAAGCATTACGTTTTAGAGTATTTAAAATCATGAGGAAAAACAATTTCCTCCAGATACGTTAAGCATCTGGTGCTGGCAAGAAGAGACAATTTTACAGTATTAGGAGAAACATTAACCGACTTAAGAAGAAGGAATGCAAATCAATCTAAAAGACTCCCCATTTCTCCCTGTGTTTCAGAGAAGCTAATTCATCAGTCTTCAGGGTTCATTTCACATGCAGTGTTGCTAGCTGATAGTCTGTCGTAGCCCGTTGTGCATTAATCAGTCTGGCAATTATATCACCATTTTATTACGACAATTAGAGTAAAACAGCACATATCAGAGTGAAGTTAAATGAAATTTCCCATTGACAACCCATTTGTTTTCAGGTGAACACACTAACCCAGCACAAGGAAAAAAACCCTTTAGTAATGGTTGATAATAAGTTTTATTTAAAAAAAAAAAAAAAAAAAAATCTGCTGGCAATGTTAGAACTCAAAAACGCAGCTCATGTCAATTCCAACCATCGTTATTCATAATTTAATTTCTCTGTTAGCTGTGTGTCACTGAGATTACATCTGAATGAGACAGTCACCAGCTCAGCAGAATAACCAGGATCCACAGGGGCCAATGAGAAAAAGGTGACACACAAAGACAGGCAATTTACTGGCTTCCCTGTAAAACTAAATAAATCAGTATAGAGCAGATGGAAAGGGGAGGGGCCTGCATGAACGTTCTTAGTGCTGCTTGGAGGCAAAAAAATGAAGCAGTTAAGACATAGAAATCTAGTGACTAAATTAATCTGACAAAAGTACTAATTAAATTAACATTTTAGATGTTTTTTTTAACATTTCATAACATTTATTGACTACAGACCAGACGACTACTACTACTACTACTAATAATAATCCCGCCTTATGTATTATAATTTATAAAGGGTACAAAAAAAAAAAAAAAATGGTGGAGCCGCTGGACAAAATAAGAAAAAAAAAACAAAACAAAAAACGAATACATTTTTTACCATATTCATAACTCTTTTATGGGCTTTTCAATAACAATAAATGGCATTAAACCTGTTTTTAATCTAAGTGTATTTCTAGATTAAATTCTAATGTGATTATTTTACGGTGTTCCCCAGGGATCTATTACCGGGCCACTATTAATCAAATTAGTGCAGTAATTATTCAACTCCATTTCTCTCATTCTGTGCTCAAATTGGATTATTATTATAAGAATTGTAATTTTAACATAGTTGGTAGGAAAAAAAAAAAGTGTAAACATGTAAGGTCTGTCAGACTTTGTATCTTTGGGGTCAGCAACATTACCAAAACTCAATTATTAATATTATTATTTTTAATAAAGTCAAAATCAAAATTATAAATTGAATCTTTAAAAAAATACCCAAAACACTTAGAGTATGACATAAATTTATTTATGGAATACTGAGTCATTTAAAAAGTGATAAATGACATCAAACTAAGAGAGACATTGGTCTGGCTGTGTGGTTAATTTAATGATCTTACTTCATTTTGATTAGTGAATAGTGTTTCATATTGAGACCATTGATAAATCTTTATGCCTCCTTCCTGCACTATTTAATTATTTGGCCTTTTTATTTCTTTGATTTTAACCCGTTGAAATAATCTTCAAATGTAATGTCTGTGCCCGGATTATCCAAAGGTCATGGCAGAAGGTGGCTGTAAAATCTGATTTAATCCTTTCTGGAAATGCACATGATTTGAATTCCCCTCATGACACAAAGTAGGCCCACACTGGTACTGCTGCTGTCTGCTGGTTTCCATGGCAACCGTCTACCAATTGGTCAGGTGGTTCTTTGGCAGAGAGGATACAGACAGAGAGACACCGTCTCGCAGAGGCTGTTGAGAGTCAAGCTGTCTGCCCGTCTTGGATTTATTAAAGGCCATTTTGCTCAAATTTATAATTCATGACAGAGAGGGCCATGTCAACAATCTAACCATCAGGGCTCATGCAGCTGTAGCCAGAAAGGTGTTTTTGGACACCTTTCCACAGGTCCAGGATAACGTGTGGACCTGATAAGCTGAAGAGTTGTTATGGAACAACACATCTGGGCTAGCACATATTTTGCAGTCATTTACACTTATTTCTAGACGTTCAAACACATGCTTTTTAGGCATTTCTGGACTGGACAAAAAAAAAATAACGTTGTGTCACTCAATTACTGATTCTGCTTGGTTTAATTCAGGTGGAATACTCAAAACTGGGATGGAGAACCATAATGTTTCTACAAACAGCCACAAAAATCATTTTCAGCCTCAATTGTTTGATGTGAGAGCGTTTACTGTCAAAGCCATTGTCAGCAGGATGTTAGTTTGCTAGGTTGCAGGAGGTTGAAGTCAATCCCAGCTGACACTGGGCAGTCAGTCACATGGCCAACACAAAGACAGAAAAGAGTCATGCTCACATTCACACCTAGTACCAATTTGGAGCCATCAAAAAACCCAACCTCCAACTCCTTGGACTGTTTTTTTTTTTTTTTAAATTTCAGGGCAGGTGTAACTACGATTATTATTAATTATGAACACATTTGCCACGGTGTTAAAACTGTTTCTGTAAACCTACCATATTCTGTGACAGCTGGCCATCTTCCTCAAAGTGACGCTCGACATAGTCTGTAGACAGCAGATTGCTGGAGTGTACAGATTGAGAAATATTAGGAGCAAAAACAACAAAAAGTGCTTAGAAATGCTTAAAAAAAAAAGGACCTAGTACTGAAGTAATTCTTTTACAAGGGTTTCATAGAAATAAATAAAATCAGTGTCACAATAAGTATTAAAAGAGGTGTGATGTGACTTGTTGTGACTTAAACCTCACTACAATATTAGGACACTTTACTTCAGTGTATTGCTTGACTAGGTCTGAATATGGCTACACCATCTGTTATTTATCAATGTTTAGCCAGCACCCACTTCGTGTAATATGATGTGTGAGTCTGAACATAGTTATGTCAGTAATTGCAGTGAACCACTTAAAGTGATGTTTAATGGACCTGAGGTAAGCTTTGCAGGTGTGCGGTGACTTACTGGTTGAGCTCCAGGTCGAGTATGAAGGCTGTACCAAAGGCTTTTACCAAGAAGCTGCTCTGGGCCAAATGGATGGGCTAAAAGAGAGTGAGGGAAGGGGAAGGAGGAAGGAGTGAACACCAAAGAAGACATAAATACTGTAAAGAAAATGACGGCTGCAGTTAATAACTGAATTTAAAATCATTTCTCATTTATGGTGCCTTAAAGAGAAACAGTCTGGAACACTGCAAACATTTGATCTTAATTTCATCACTCTCAACATACATACATAATACTCTGTACACAATTTGTGCTGCCCTGTAACCCCCCCCCCTTTTGATTTTATACCAACAAATACTAACATAATAAAACTGATATTTTATGATCATTTTACAACAACACGCTAACGTCAGTCTGGTTTTATTACAATGTAACAGCATCAGTCTGTTGTAGTGTTGTAGTTCCACTGTGACGTTCTAACACAGTGGCCACAATACTCATGGCCATTGATCAATGCTCTTTGAGGAGTAGTTGTAATCAATGGTCATGACAATTTGCATATTAATGAACAAGAAACTGACCTCACAAACCATTGTTCGCGAGTGTTGCTAGTTTCAGTCATTAAGCAAATGTACTCTTTCTAAGGCTGGGGAAACCTGCAGTCAGATACGACTGAATGAGTCACTTGGATGAGTGATGAAAATTTTTTTCAGCGGCTTTCTCCCACTGAAAACGTTACATCCAGATGAACAGAATCAACTCTTTGGGATAGTTAATAGAAAAGTTTTTACTGCTTTTCACATTTGGTGTGACCTAGACCCAATTTTCACCCAAATTAAATCAGTTGTTTTGTATTTACCGTCACACAAAATTTTAAATGACATCTTGAAAACTGTGGATGTTAGCCTGCTAACAAACAGACAAATCAGACAAACAGAACAGATTTCATGCTCCCTTCCTTTGGGCAAATCCAGCTTTTATGAAGCACACAGCAAAACACTTGTCTCTGTAGTCATTAAGTCATTACTCTGACTTTTAAGAGTCGACTGAAAATGAGGCCAACCACGCAGGGCAAATGAACCTGAAGCCATCTTCCCTGTGGTTTCATCACTACATCAGTGGACACTGTCACTGCCACATTATTTTGGGGGGGAGGGGGGGGGGAGAACCCCACTCTATTGTATAATTACATCAGGTATTCTTCAAGTCACCATGTGAAGTCATAGCCATCATTACTGTTGTAGAGTTGTTTTTTTATTTAATGAGAACCCAAATCAGTTTGAATGCTTCTCAGCTGATTAGCAGTGTGTCAGTGAAAACAGAAGCTGCCATACTGCGCTAATCATGATGGGTTTAAAAAAACAACAACAAAACAAACCCAAATGCAATGTTGCTAAGATCTTAAAGATCTAATTGCTCTCATAAACATAATTCTGCTCGTTCAGGAGAGCCTCTCGAGTCACAAATGTACTCCTTTGGATGAGGGAACGTTCTCAACACCGCAGAGCGGTGGCAGCATCTGAGCCAGTGTAGCACATGTGCACATTATTCTACCCAATTAGGAGAATTGGATGAATATTGGATCTGATCCGACCAACTAATTAGCTGACCTCTACATTTGCTGATCTTTTAGTAACGTGTGCTGATGTCAAATTTAGTGTGCAGTATGGGCATTTTTCTTCTTTTTAACTTTAAAAATATGGTCAAAATCTAACGCAGACACTTTTTGCTGTTTCACAAATTCACCTCGGAGGGTTTTACATTTCAAACGAAAGATGATACCTTATAGACCCTGGATAGAGACTAAAACTTGCTTACAATAAAAGGATTATCCTTATAAGTAGAGCGGATATGCAGCAGAAGCTATAGGTGGCAGAGGAAATATAAGCAGCAAAATTACAATACGAATATCCTTTTTTACGAATGTTTTCCCAGAGGAGACATCTTATCCACCCAGCGGCGTTTGGATAAAATTCTGTGCTGAGGGCTCACTGTCTCCGTCTAACCTTGCTCCAAGGTGAGCCCAATCCATATTAAAAGAGAGTTCTGTAGTAGCTCCCGTCAGTGCTCACTGGCCAGCAGCAAGGCAGGTCTCATTAGTAATACCCTGCACTCTCAGCAAACCACTTAGTATCAATCTAAACCTCCACTGGGTCCATATACCATACAATAAAAGACCACAACGGGGCTTGTGAGCAGCAATACAAATGCTCCATTAGCACTCTCACTATTATATTTTTCTTATTTAAATTTTGATCATAATTCAGGCCACACTACAGTTTAGTTTCACACGTTACATTGTTGTCCACAGATACAAATGGACCCACAGTTTTTTAAAACTCAGTACTTGCACCAGACTATACAGTCACACTAAAAAGGTTTTACGTACAAGGGAATAACAAAAAAAAAACAAAACTAAAATAACTTAGCAGGTCTAAAAATTCAGTAACTACAACCTCAGATGAACTGAGAAAAACAAAACAAAAAACATAACATTAGACTAGAGTGGAGACGTTTGGCCGTAATGCACAAAAACCAAACACAGCATATCAACACTAACACCACATACCACAAGCACAGTGGTGGAGGGGTGATGATTTGAGCTTGGACATGAGGCAATGAGTCGACCGTGAACTCCTCCGTATACCAAAATATTCTGGAGTCAAATATAAGGCCATCAGTCTGGCAGCTAAAACTTGACTGAAATTGCATCAAATGACAATGACCCCAAGCACAGCAACAAATCTACAATAGAATGGTGAAAGAGATCAACACTGAAGGTGTTACAGAGATCCAGACCTCAAGCATGACCTTAGGAAAGCCGTGCATAAATGAATGCCTGAACTTCAATGGACTGACCTACCATTGTAAAGTTAGGTCAGTTAAGTTATTGCATCTAAAGGTGATTCTACAGCAACTGAATCCTGGGGTGCACCTGGTCTTTCCACACACTGCTTCTCCATTTTGGCTTAGTGTTTCTAAACTGGTTTTATTATGTCCTCATACGCAAAACCTTAGAACTGAGAATGACTGTGTGTACTGTTACTTAAAGTGGAGCTTTACTCATTAAAAATATTCTCATACTTTCACTGGATATGAGCACTGGATTTCATAGCTATGACTCACAGATCAAATAAGAGTTTTTCATTAGGAAGGCCCACATTGTCCAAAGTCAAACTCAGAGCATCAGGTCACAAGTGCGATCAGCACTTTTAAGACTTATTTTTGGCTTTTATTGGCAGCACAATAGCAGACAGGGAAGCAGAGGAAATAACATACAGCAATTGTAGCTACATTTTGTACCCACAATTGAAAACCGCCCTATTGTAAGTTTTAAACCAGCCACTTGATCTGAACGCCAGCATTAACGTTTTTCTAAACTGGGAGAAATCCCAGACTAAAATCTTTTTTCCAGTTCGTAATTACAAATTTAAAGCTGGGGACAGTTTTACAGCAACATTAAGGGGAGTCTGCAAAGCTTTTCCTTGTTTTTGGTTTTTTTATGCTGTGTATATACTTCAAATACTCACGTCAATGTGTGTACAGGTAAGAGACTAAAGGTCAGACTTCACACGGGTCTAAACATAGCAGCCCCGTCCACCTGGTGTTCAAACCTTCTATTTGAGAAGGGCAACCAGCTCAAAGTGTGGAGCTACACCTGCACGATTCAGACAGTTGATGAACTAAAGGGATGCACAGCTGCCTGGTATAAGTTAAATAAAGATTATTTTGAACTGAGAATCATGCAAAGCTACTTTGGTAGAGCCCAAGACTGAAAATATGAAGCTGGATACAGGAATAATAGGCCCACTTTAAATCCTTACGATGCATAATCACAAAAAACAATCACTGTGCAGCGATCGGCAGCTAGCACAGTGTAAAGTAAGCCTGCTGATTGCATCTCATATCTAAATTCAAGTCTAAGGGCACCTCTGGTATCAGCAGAAAGAGATCACGAGACAACACGCTGACCACAAGGGGCACATCAAGGTCAAACCCATGTCATATCCACTGACCTGACAGCCGCTGACTGACAGCGTTTACAGCAAAGGCAACAAAAGAGGACAGGTAGAGGTGTGAAATATCATCTGATGAGGCCGAAAGGAGCAAAAGGCTGAAGTTGAGGGGGTGGGATGTGTTTTATCTGCCTTTTTAATACCCTGGTGTGTGTGTGGGGGGTGGGGGTGTTAAAGAATGGTGTAAATGTGACAGACAGATGACTTCAGGAGAGAAGGCATAGAGGGAAAAACAAGCTTGACAGAGAGCAGATTTATTACACAGTTTCCATCTTTTCTCTGTAGCAAATAGCAAAGGTTGGTTTACACTGTCAGTGTCCAGCTTTATGCACAGTAAACTAATCTGAAATTAATACAGCCTGGTTACATATCATGAAGATGACCCACATCAGCAAAACTATAACTAAAAATGTGAAAATTTTAATTTCAGTCTGCTAAGAGCAGTTAACAGACACGCTTTCTACTCTACATTTTTAAGATTTTCTGCATCATTTATGAAACTGTTCCTGCTGGATGTTTGACTAAAGGCAGTGTTAGAAAACATCTTGGTTGGGGGGGGGGGTCTACAAGGTCTACTCTTGATGTCTTTCTTGTCTTAATCTGATCTCAATGTGGGGAAAATGTAGAAACTAATATTTATGGAAATCTAATGACGATAAATGACGTGTTCAGTTCTGATGGTTTGGACAACAGGTGTAAAAACAACAACAAAAAAGGCGGTAACAAAAGCAGGCAAAGCTCACCTGCTCACCGGCTGGGTGGTTCTTGACCCGGGTGTCCAGTCGGCTGTGCAGGAGCTCTTCCTCAGTGTGGATCTGCTGCAGGAGTCGCTTGGGCTGAACGACCTCCTCCGCGGGCGGCAGCCTTCCCTCCGGACTCCCCCATTCTCTCAGAGCTGCAGAGGACACGCACACAGGTGGGGCGAAAAGGTCATTTATAAGTTTTACTTACCAGAATCAACAACTGGCCGTGAGCTTCTTGATGTCCCTACTTATTTATTACATCGCGAGTATTTGGCTCTGTGTTTGAAGCGTGGGAACCTCTTACCTGTCTCGGCGTACCGTGCGTACACTGTAGCGAACAGCAGGCATCTCACCGCGAGCATGATGCTCACATAGTCCCAGTGATTTCTTCCGTGCAGCGCCGTTAAATGAACCGACACCAGCCGTGAGCGGAGCTGTAGCAGGACTCTTGTTGTTGTTGTTGACAGTGAAAACAAACACAGCAGCTTGGTGCCTTCACGTTGTACGCCCGCATTTCTCACTCCCTGTCCGCCTGCGGCGCTTACAAACACCTTGAAGGGGCTCCTCCTCCTCCTCTAGGCTGGGGTAACATGGTGTTTGTGTGTCCGTGTTGCCCTGAGCTGCTTGGCTTCACACACCTGTCTGCCGGCCTCGTTACTGAGTGAGGCTGCGCGAGGAAACCAGCGGCACGTGGGGCGTGACGGGACCACCCACACACTAATGGATCCAGCACTCGGGCCCGGGAGCCCGAAGGGAAACACCTGATATCACCGTCAAGATTCAGGCATTATTTTAAGGACTTCAAATGCATGCCATCCATCTAATGCACTTCAAACAGTGGTTTATTATTTATAATGCAGATGAGCTAAGTGTATTTTCTTTGCCCTGTCGATTAGAATAATAAATACATTTTCTTATAATTAATATTGAATTAAAGCCATTATCCCGAAAGAATTATGTAAATGAATATATTTGAATTATATATACGCAATAATATGATTCACTTATCGGTTGGGTGAAAACTGGGCAGTTAGTATTAATGAAAACTGGGATGAGGAGAACATATCAAATACTGTTCATATCAGCTGGTCTGATGAGCCAAACGGGACACATCGACTTGCTGCTGCCCTTGCTTCATCCATCACTTATTTAAGTTTGACATACAGTCAGCATTTATAAAGTCTTCACCACACATGGAAAAAAAAAGCTTTTTAAAGCACACAGAGGGGGGATATTTATGAATAAAAACATTTATTAAAAAAAAAAAACACTGTACAAGGTTTCAATTCACATTCCCAGAGACAACTGACATACCTCCATATGCAAAAATCATGTTGCATTCCCTTTGTCACATTGTGACCTTTTTTTCATGTTTAGAAGCAGCAGTGAGTTCTGGACTTTATAGACCATTTCATCATATCAAAGATGTCCAAAAATGGTATTTATTGGTAGATGACCTCATACTGTATATCTAATAAACCTGACTTGCTTCTCCTTGACAAAGCCAGTCCTCTGGCCCACCCTCAAAATGCAGGAAGAGCTTTTTGACATTAATCAGGTGATTTGGCTCACAGTTCGTCAGTCCTCCACCCTGTGAACGCCTCGTCTGTTTGACCATCAACACCAGCATATGTGGGACCTGATCCAGGCGCAGCACTTACAGTAATTGAATAATGCCCCCTTTCAGGAAGGCCTCATTAAATTCTCAGTATCGCCACAAGTTCCCGAACAGAGCTGCCTGAGCGACTGCAGTCAGCACAACACACAATACTATTAAGGGGACTATGCACAATGAGGGTTCAAGAGAAACATGATCATCAACAGGATTCAAATTCTTGGGAAGATGCAGGATAAATTAATCAGCATGTAATGCAGAAGACAATTAAATCTGAAATTAAGCCCTAATTTTAAATATTTATTCAGTGTACAAAGGGCTTTTGTGCTTCGCATCTTTCACAAAAAAGTCAAGAAAATAGCTGTCAGTGCTGAACCTCTACAATCTGTACCACAGTCCTGCTAAAAGGGTCCCTTTCTTCCCCGCACATTGAGGCGGATGGGGTTGATGGCTTAAGGACAGTATGCAGGTGTGACTCGTAGCTGGTGTTGTGCATCCAGGGACACGGCCTGTGGAGTAGTTCCTTGTCGAGCTCACAGTTCTGTTCAGTGGAAGCCAGAGGTGTAGCTGAGGTCGGGCCCAGCTGTGACAGCAGGTCACAGTCCCAGTCTGACTCTGAGGATGATGGAGAGAGCTTTGCCAGGTCTGGGATGAGGCCTGGCTCGATACAGATTGAGGTAGAGTGAGATACTGAACGCTGAGATTCTTGACTAGAAATCCCACTGTGACATTTATCAGTGTGGAAGTCGACTGGTTGAGTGGCAACCGGGTCAATTTTGACAGAGGATCGAGCTAAATTCTGTGCACTCGGAAAACAAAACGTACTACAAGTCTGTTTTAAACCAAACATATCCACAGTAGTAAATGTTGAAGAGACAGTTGAACTGAGACAAGACTGAGAGATTTCATAACGGAGCTTGTCCAAGAGTAAAGCGCATTCACTCTTTGCTGTATTGTCACTTTGTGGTTTTGGTGGTTTAATATTTTGTCCCGTCCAGCTATCACTGTTACCAGTCTTTGTTGTCCTCATCCTTTTACTGTTGCTACATTCAGGGCTGGCAGATCGACTGCGCTTTTTGGAGTTTACTGCGATTTCTGACTGACGAGGAAGGGAACGAGATCTACCAGAAGATCGCGTGGTGCACTCCAAATCTCTGTTAGAACACACAAGCCCAGCAAACTCAACAACGTTGTCCGTTTTTGCTCTTCCTGCATTGGTCACAGCCCCAGAGGTAATTGGTGGGGTGGAGAGAAAATCTCTGAATGCTGAGGCAAATGTAAACACACCATCCTCAGTTGATCCTTCCACAGGCTCCTCTGTGATGTATGGTTGGGGACTGAGGACAGGGGGGTCTGAGTAAGGACTTTGAGGATTTATAATGTAGGAATAGGGGACTTGGGGGCTGAGGACTGGAGGCAGGGAGAAAGGGTCAGAGAGGGGACATGGAGAGAGACGCTGAATTTCAGGCAGTTGATTGACTGAGTCCTGGGCTTCTACTTCAGGTTTTAATACAGGCATGACTGGACTCAAAGCCTGAGGATGCATATCAGGCAGCTGGCAGTTTGTCACATGATTGAAAGACTGAGCGCCTGGATTTGGGACGGTAAACTGAACTCCTGGTGATGGACTGGCAGGGCCTGGACAGGAAAGAGGACCCCTGGTAGGGCTGGAAAGGTGAGTATTTAATGATGAACCTCGTCTCCGCAGGGCCTGAACAGTATGCTCCGTCTCGGCATCAGAAAGAGGCTCCAGTTCACAGACATCATGGATAGGCAAAGGAGTTGGAAGTCTAGAGAAGGATACAGACAATCAGTTGAAAACAGAAAAAAATATATATATAAATAAATCTATATCAAAATATTTCATGATCCAAGCTGACCTGCTCAGTTCTTCTTGCTGGGGTGGATTGGGATCAAATTCTGGAAGCATATCAACCACAAGCTCATCCACCAAGCTGTAATTCAAAGGATCCAGCACAAATGTGCGGTGCTGATTGGACTGCAAGTGCTTCAAGGACAAAAAAAACAAAAACAAAAACCCACACCATGAAAATGAACAAAATCACCCAAAGGAACCAACTTCTATTTGCTTTAAATAATAATTAAAAAAAAAAAATTCCTACCTCTTCCAGATTTGTGAATGATTGTTGGCAGCATTCACAGTAAGAAGGGTCCTTTTTGCGTGGTCGCCAAGGTGAAGGGTTACAACTAAGTGGGGATTTACTTTGGGATTTTTCTTGAATGCTACTTTCAACTTTCTTGACCCTAATTAAGAAAAATACAAATATTATGAACCCTCAAAATACTTTTTACACAATAAAACACTTTCTTCATGGAGTGCAATTTATTTCCACCATCATTTCAACCATTTATTCAAAAATGAAAAATAATCAAACAGTTTGTAATTAATATATATATATATATATATATATATATATATATATATATATATATAAATAAATAAATCAGTATTATTCAAACAGTTAGCCAACCACATGTGAACAAACCTTGTTTTGGTTTCCTCCATCTCTGTCTTCTTTTCAAACCGAGGAGGAGGAGGACATTCAAAGGGACTGAATCGACCAGCGTAGTACAGATCTGGGAAGGTCATAGACTGCATGTGCAAAGGCTTGTATTTCCTGTTTACATGGCAGAATAACAGAGGGAGGAACAATAGAAAAAATGAAAAACCAAATAAAAATGTCTGTATCAATGTTTCAACATTACAACACTAAGAATATAAAGACCGACTCAGTAATACAGTAATTATATAACTGAAGCATTTTGAAGCTATATTAACCACTTTTCAAAAACTTATTTGAGATAGACTGTATCTAGCAGTCCAGATGCCATGGGTTCTATGTCATAGCAATGGCCCATACACATTAGCCAGATCACATCAATTAACTGAAATGAGAGCGCAAATGATGGGCTCTGTTAGCACACAGAGATCCCCTGCAGGAAGGGGCAGTGGAGCTTGCAAAGCCTCATCAAATAGAAATCGTATCCAGTTGAGCTCTGGCCTCCTGGGGAGCTGCCTCAGTGGGAGGGGAGCTCGTCACATTACAAGAAATTCAACTGGGCTGAAATACACACCTCCAGAACCAGCACCCAGTGGGGCAAGACGGGCAGAAACAATGGGATAGATCACTGCCCCCCACTGCTGCTTCACTGTCAGTATGCTTAACCCTCTAAAAAAGGCTCGAATCTGACACCGAACCATTAAATGAGGCTTTGCAGGCCTTGGGGGAGAAAGAAAAACCTTCCTTTGCCTTGCTAAATCCCAACTTGTCTATCTTTACTGACTAGGATTTAATTTGGGGAAGAAAAAAAATTAACTTAAAACATCGGAGTATCTTGTTATTTTAAGCTATTCTAAAACTAGGCGTGACTGATTTCTTTTTTTTTTTGACTGATTTCTAAAGGAAAGAAATAAACTTTCTCTTCCTTAAATATAAACTGAACTCCTCAAAAGAGGGAACTCACCTGCTCAAGTCTTCAATTTTAAGATACGGGGATCTCAAAGCCAAAGCTGTTGACAGCAGATTTGAGAAGGAAAAGACAAATAAATTAGCCAAAGTACAAATGTGAGGAAATTGAATCAAAACATAACCACAGACTTACCCTTGACAGCAGGAGAGCCTTGATGTTTAGTGCCAGTCTTCTGCAGTAAAAATAAAAATCATCAATATGAAACCAACATCAACTATATCTTTTACTTCATTCAGTTTTAATTGGTCTCCATCATGTGTTTGCTCGCTATCGTTACCATTTTCCAGCCCTAAAATCTAAAAACCGCTACAACAGGAAATCTGTCAAATGATGTGAAAAGATAAACAGCTCAAACACCTCACCTCTGCCCTCTTGTGTTTAGTACTGAAGCTCTCTCGAGTTAAATGTTTCAGATAACAGAGGACATCTGATAACACATTAAGGAACAACTTTCAATGTGCAAAACACAAATAATGTTTATTTAATCTGGGCACTGAGTTTAAAACAAAGTACAAAGGACACTGTAGACATCTCTCCTAAAAAGATACTTTTGAGTACTGAAAATAACACAATAGTTCAAGTCCAGCCACTTTAGGAACAGTCTGGATTTGATGTAGCGCTTTGCCAAGT